TAATAATATATATAAATAGACTATTTAAATATATATACTTTAATCTTATTTAGATAATTATAAGTTATAATAGCCTAAATTAAGTTATATACTTTATTAATAATATAATAAGATTTTATTAAATTAAGTATATTAAATATAAGAGTAATATTTATAAAATAATAATAGACCTTAAAGATTAAATTAAATATTAGTTTAATATTAAGGTAAAGATATATTATATAGATAATAAAAAGGCCTTAACTAAGGATATTAATTATTTTATTATTAATATAATATTAAAATAGATAGTTCTAGAAATAGTAGAATAAAATAGCTGTACTAAATATATTAGAGAGGTAATATTAAAGATATTAAGAAGCCTATATATTAAAGATAATATATTATAAGATTTATAGCTAGAAATAATTAATTATAAGGTATAAATACTTAATAATATATCTATATAGGATTAAAGATAGAAAATCCTAAGATAATAATTAAATAAGCTTATTAATAATATAATTATTATAATTAAAAAAAATATAACTAATACCTACTTATATAGCTTTTATATATATATATAATAATAAAATATATTATAAAAAGAAAAAATAAAATTATAAGTATTAATTAAATACTTTATTAAATAATTAGTATTAAATATTATTTATATATAGAATTTAAGGAAATAGATTATATTTAAATACTATAATTTTATAGTTAATAAGATAATTAAATATAATTTAAATAATTTATTTATTAAGGTTACTTTATAAATAATATTATCTAAATTACTTATAGACTTATTAATATTATTAATAAATAAGTTAATTAAAGCTAATAATCTTATAAGTATTAATAATAAGGATATATATTAAAGATTAGATACCTAAAAGTAAGATACTATTATATAAATAATTAAATAAAATATATTTAATATAAAACTCTTTAAGAAAGGCTATTATAGACCCTTTAAGAATAATAATAATAAATAAATAGACTACTAGAAAATAATAGCTATCTTATAAATAATAATATTAGAATAGATACTAATACTATAGATTATATATATAATAGTAGTAATATTAAGTTTATTATAATAATTATAAATAATAATAAAATAATTAAATAAATAGTTAAATAAGTAACTATAGAGTGCTTTAATAATAATATAAATATTAAATATCTTATCTATAGATAAAGATTAAGAACTAGATAATATAGAGTACTATAAGATAAGACTAAGTCTAGATACTAAAAATATAATCTAGAGATAATAAACTTATAAAGCTTTAAGATAATATAAAAATAGTAATATATATACTATATAGAGACTAAATAGTATATATAGTATATTTAATATATTAATTATAATAAAGCTTAAAGACTTAAAGGCTTTAAGTATAAATAAATAGTTATATTAAAGCTAGATACTACTATCCCTAGATAATTAAAAGAAGATGCTTAAGTATTAATATAAAAATTAGTTTATTAAGACTATAATAGTTAAATATAATAGTTTATCTAAATATAAAATATTCTAAACTATTAAATAATTAAATAATATTATAATTATTTTACTTTAATAAGTGTTTACCTATAAATTTAATTTAAATAGTTACTTAATAAAGTTTAAAATATAATTATATATATAAGGAGACTTATAGCCCTTCTTAGTATAAAAAATATAAGCTATAATACTTATAGTATAAATATTCTAGATATTAATATTATTAATTATTATATTTAATCTAGAGATATATTAATATAATATAGTTAATATATTTATTAATAGTTTATTAAATAAAGTGATTTATATAGATATATCTTTTAGATTTATATAGAATAATAAAGCCCTTTTATTAATATAAGCCTTATATAGATTATAAAGATTATTAAAGTTATAATAAAAGAATCTAGCTATAACTCTTAATATATTAAGATTAAAGCTATCTAAAGACCTCTACCTCTTTATAAATAATAAGCTTATCTTATTAATATATATTAATAACTTTATCCTTATTTACTTTAAAGAGGATAAAGTATATATAAATAAATTTAATAAAGTATTAAATAGTATTTATTAAATATATAAGATAGAACTTAAATAGTTTCTTAATATATAGATTTATAAAAACTATATTAACTAGAAACTTTAACTATATTAAGATATTTATATTATAATAATTATTATAAAATATAAGCTTCTTAATTATAAATTATTATAGATGCTAATATTAGTTAATTATTTAATTAAAAATATAAAGACTATAATATAAAGCTAGATATAATATTATTAAGAATTAATAAAATTATTTATTTATATAATAATTATTATAAGAGTAAAATTAGCCTAAATTATAAATAAATTAAGAGAATTTTTATTAAATCTATTAATTAAGTATATTAAAGCTATAAAATAAGTAATTCTATATTTATATAAAATAAGATTTCTAGCTATTTACTATAAATACTTAGTAGAGAGCCTTATAAATAATCTATTAATTAGCTAAATACTTATAGATTATCTAGTATTTATATATATAAATAATATAATATATATAGATAATAATAATTATAAAAGTATATAAGGATATATTTATTTATTATATAGAGGACTTATAGATTAAAAGATATTAAAATAATAAACTATAATAATATTAACTATAAAGGCTAAATTAACTATAATCTTATATATAAGAAAGAAGCTATTTTAGTAAAAATAACTATTTATATCTATTAAATTTAATATAAAGTATTAATTAAATATCTTATATAATAATAAATAGACTATTAACCTACTTATAAAAGAGATATTATTTATATATATTAAGCTTTAATATATTAATATTTAATAGTACTAGCTTTACTAGGAGACCTAAATTAAGATAATATAGATTTAATAAATCTTAATAACTTATATACCTATAGATAGCTTTATAAAGATATTAATAGGCCTATAATATTAAAGATTTATTAAGATACTTAATATAGAGGATATTAAGATAATAAAGATAATAATAAAGTTAGGATAATACTAGAGGGGTATATTATAGAAAAGAATAACCTTAAGGCTACTAATTAAAATAATTTATATATATTTATACTATTACTTAACTAGTTAAGCCTAATATAATTAGTATTATACTCTAATTTTTTATTTATTAGGTATATCTGGCCTAACTGACGTCAGATAGGCCTGAGTGTGTAAATTATATAGGAATATAATACTATTAGCCCTGAATATGTATAGGATTTGTTAAATTAAATGGCTAGCAAGGTCCACAAGCCACCTCTTACACAACAACCTTCCAAGATTCCATGATTGAATAACCCACAAATGAAATCAAATCACTACAGACCCCGGATTACCTGGTGGATGCGTCTCAACCGTTTCATCTATACTTTCGAGTCGCCGCTTTGTCTTCGTGGGAGCCTGACGCGTCTTCGTCACCGACACAGCTATCCGCTTCTTGCTCTGCTCCGGCTTTTTCTACCTCTGCCGACATGGCACTTCTCTCTCCCCAACCCTGTTCCTTTCATGGTCATGAGGGATAATTTCGGGCTTTTTAGGACTCGAGCGAGTTCTGCAGACCTGGTCAACATGCGTTCTATCCCTGTATGGCGAGCCAGAGACACTCCTATTCGATCCATTTACCGGATCTATGAAGCAATGGCCGCGCGCGAATATGTAGCCATAGGCCCAGAGGTGGAGTACTTTTGGTACCAAGCACGGCACTCATGGTCGGTCCACTGCATACCAGATCCCTGTGATCACGATCCTATACGGTATGCTATCCTTGCCTGTATCGCAGAAGAGCTTGCGGATGCGTTCAACTGGCGGCTGAGTCAAGGATTGCGTCGTGATGGCAAACATATCTACCGCGAGACACTCGACGATGTTTTACCAAACTACACACCAGAAACTGCCCCTTCTTGGACTAGGAAGGTGCCTCCAATTGACGTCAACTTGATTGAAGGTTTACCAGATGATGTGCTAGACTCGTCGGGCAAGCTGATACTTGAACAAGGTGGGCAGAATCTTGTGTTTGCGGAGAGAAATATTGTCACAAATACTGGTTACTTTCGAACCATCTAGCAGATAATCATGCTGGACTATTGAGGATTGAAGTAGTATATTCTGAGTAGAGCAGGTCTCAGAAGAATAAGATCTAGAATTATGTGCATATTGAACTACTGGTCTAGACTTAAGGAAAAGACCTATACAATTTACCTGTTATCTTTACTTTACAATACTAAATGACGCCATCACATTAGCTGACACTTTAAGGTTATCCACTCAATTATGTGATCTGCAGCTAAATCTCACCTTAAGATATCATTCTCGGGGATATGGCGCAATCGAAACGTCCTTGGAAAATAGATGGCAGATGAATAGATGAATAGATGAGATGAATAGATTAGATGAATAGATTAGATGAATAGATTAGATGTATAGATGAGATGAATAGATGAAGAGATGAAGAGATGAGTAGAGAGGTAAGTATAAGATAGGAAAGAACATAAATAGGAAGAGATCTATACATAGATATAGATAGAGAGAGTGTATAAGATACTGAGGAGTAACAGTGACGTGATCTTAGGAAGAATGAGCTAATAAGCACCACCACTGCTTTTTATACCTTCCTCTATTCCTACAATATTCACTTGTTCATCAGATCAATCATGGCTTCCCACCAGCAGGAGCAGGGCGATGCCACCGAAGGCATCGTCAAGCCATTGAAGTCATGGAAAGGATATCTCTGGGATACATGGGAGCTTCCCCACGACCAACGTTGGCTCTTGTTCAAACTGGATGCTTTTGTCCTGACTTTTGCTTCGGTGGGTGGTAATGCATATAATATTCATCTAGCTATCTAACATGTGACCTGCAGATTGGCTATTTTCTCAAAAACATCGACCTCACAAACGTCTCAAACGCCTATCTGAGCGGAATGGAGGAAGACCTGGCCATGTATGGCGACCAACTGGTGACCAGCACCTCCATCTGGACGGTCGGTTATGTGATCGGCCAGATTCCCTCCAATCTCTTATTGACCAGACTGTCTCCTCGCTGGGTCATTCCTTCGGTAGGTGCCCATCTTAGGGTTTAGGGTTAGGGTTTTGTACACTGATACGTTCTAGCTGGAGGTTGGCTGGGGAATCGCCACCATCTGCACATCGACCGTCAAGTCGTATAAATCCTTATACGTTGTGCGTTTTCTCGTCGGTCTTTTTGAGTATGTATACTTCTATTAAAGAATCTACTAATGAATAATCTACTAATGAATAGGTCCGGCTTTTATCCTGGCATCCACTATCTGCTCGGATCATGGTACACCCCCCGGGAGATCGGTAAACGAGCCATGATCTTCTGGCTGGCTGGCTCTGTGGGCTCCCTGTTCAGCGGCTTCCTCCAGGCCGCTGCCTACACAAACCTGGACGGAGTTGACGGCCACGCAGGCTGGCGCTGGCTGTTCATCATCGACGGGATCATCACCCTTCCGCTCGCCGTGGCTGGATACATATTCTTCCCGAATCTGCCGCAGAGTGGGAACCAGACCTGGTGGATCAGCGAGGAGGAGCATCGCCTGGCCGTGAAGCGTATGGAGGCTGTCGGACGCGCGGGCAAGGAGCCATGGAGTAAAGCAAAGGCCAAGAGGATCTTCCTCAGCTGGCACACATATCTACTGCGTGAGATTGGTCCTATCTTTATGCCAATGGTCAATGCTAACCAACTAGCATTGGCATATGTGATCTGGAATAATGGGCTGCCTCAGGCCGCAATGGGATACTGGCTCAAAAGCTTCAACGATGCCCCCTATCCGGTGCCAGGGAAGTCGTATACAGTCCCCCAGATCAACGATCTCCCGTTGGTCACCATCGCCCTCTTCATCTTTGTCTCCTTCTTCTGGGGGTGGTTGTCGGATATCTTTGGGGGAGCCAGATGGCCGTTCATCCATATCGGGGCTGTCGTTACCGTAAGTACTTGAACCAAGTTATCCATGGCTATACTGACGAACAGTTTATCTTTTGTCTGCTCATGCGCCAGATGCCGCTCTATACCAACATTCCTGGCCGTATGGCTGTCTACTGGCTGTCTGAGATAGGAGTATGTTTTTCTTTTTTTTTTTTTTTTGCTTCTACTTATATTTATTTTACTAATGAACAGTGGGGTGCTGGTCCTCTCATCCTCAGCTGGATCAACGAGATCTGTTCCGCGGATACAGAGAAAAGGGCCTTGATAGTTGCCATGGCCAATGATCTCGCCTATGTTGTTCAAGCTATTGTAAGCAGCCTCTGGCAATATGATACTCTTACTCCATGCAATATGGTACTCTTGCTAATAGAAAAGGCCCCCAATTTCGTGTGGAAGACGGTCGACTTTCCCGCCGCCAAAAAGGGATATCTTTTCTGTCTTGTTCTGCAGATTCTCCTGAGTAAGTTGGATTCTACTCATCTTCAATTCATATGCTAATTGTCAGTGGCCGTGACGATTGTCGTTCAGCTGCTTCTGCGCCGGGATAGAAAGAGAGCAGAGGCTCTACCTGAGAGTTCCTCTCCATCAGAGACAAGCGTTGAAAAGTATCCAGCAGTTACAGTCGACATGGAGAAATAGAGTCTTATTTATATAGTTAGAATATAACTAACTATACTACTATACTACTATACTATATATATATTGTACTACTATACTACTATACTATATATATATTGTACTACTATATACTACTATACTATGCTGTAGAAATGACTAAGCCTTACTAAGCTACCCCTCCCACGTGACCACCGTAAATTTATTCCCCGCCATCGCCAATCCAATCCACCGACCTCAACCAACTTGCTACAGAGAAAACAAGATGCCTTCACTACAGGAAAGCCGGCTGGCGTTCATTGGCGGCGGCAACATGGCGATGGCCATTGTGCGGGGCCTGATCACACACGGGCTGAGCGCCCAGAGCATCACCGTCGCGGAGCCGTGGGAGGTGAACCGCGGCAAGATGGCCGAGATGGGCGTGCAGACGACGACAGACAACGTCGCGGCCGTGCGCGGGGCCGACGTCGTCATCCTGGCCGTCAAGCCGCAGGTCACCAAGGCCGTGTGTCAGGAAATCGCGGCTGGTTGGAGCGGTGCCGCCTCCCCGCCCGTGGTTGTCAGCATCGCGGCGGGGATCACTCTCGCCAGTCTCCAGCAATGGCTCCACGCCGAGGGGGGCAAGAGCGTGCATGTTGTGCGGGTGATGCCCAACACGCCGGCGCTGGTCAGCGAGGGAGCCTCGGGGCTCGTCGCGGGCGAGGGAGTCACCGAGGACGAAAAGGCGTTGATTGACGGCTTGCTGCGGAGCGTCAGCAAGGCCACCGAGTGGGTTGATCGCGAGGACCTTCTCGACGTCGTCACCGGCTTATCAGGTATCCCTTCCTCTCTTCTCTTCTCTTCTCTTCTCTCTTCTTCTCTTAACTAATGGATAGGCTCCGGCCCTGCGTATTTCTTCGCCATGGTGGAACATCTCATCGCCAGCGCGACGGCTCTCGGACTGTCCAAGGAGCAGGCCACTCGTCTGGCGGCGCAGACCTGTCTCGGGGCAGGCAAGATGCTGGTCGAGTCGTCGGACGAGCCGGCGCAGCTGCGTCGCAACGTCACCAGCCCCGGCGGAACGACCTTTGCGGCGCTGCAGACGTTTGAGGCGCTCAAGTTTGGCGAGACGGTCGACGCCGCCGTCAAGTCGGCGACGGCTCGCGCGGCTGAGCTGGGGGAGACGCTGGGCAAGCAATAGTGATGAGTGTTAATATAGAATAAGATCATATCATGTTGATACGATATTCTCCATCTCATTCTAGATGAAACATCGCTTAATATTCCTCAAAGGGTCAACTGCTGCAGGACCAAGTAAGTAACCACAGGCATCGGCAGACGGATATAGCAACGAGTGAATATCGGATACGGCACACGGATATAGGCAGGCTCGGCCAGTCAACACAAGCGATGAGTGGGTTTCTTCGGGATGGACAGGGTCTGGGCTTATTGTCAGAGATAGAGTGCATCGGAAAGTGCCCGACAGTATGATATAACTTATAATAACTTATAAATTTTATAGTATAATTTAATAACTTATAGTATAACTTATAGTATAACTTATAGTATAACTTATAGTATAACTTATAGTAAATACTTAACTTCTACTAGTAACTATATCAGTTATTGTCATGCTGATTGATAAGATGGATGTGGATCAGATCTACAAGGATATCAAATGGATAGATACTGCTTATGGAATATGGATACTTATGGATACTTGTGGATATAATGGATACGATCAATAAATGATGATTAATAAATGATGCTGGTGTAGTCAATAATTCACTCATATCTGCTCCATAAATACTCTGTCTCTCACTCTTAGTCTATGTAGTATCAGTCTCCCATTCTCACTCTCTTGTCTGCCAAAATGAAGCTCACACTCTCCCTGGCTCTGGCTTCGGCCACTGCCACTGCCACTGCCACTGCCACTGCCACCTCCTACGACTACATCGTCGTCGGCGGCGGTCCCTCGGGCATCATCACCTCCACCCGCCTGGTGGAAGCCGGCAAGTCGGTGCTGCTGCTGGAGCGCGGAACAGGCCCGACGGTGGCCACCGGCTCCAACGAGACTCTCGCGTGGGATTCCTCGCTGACGGCCATCGACCTGCCCGGGCTGTCCTTTGATATTGGCGCCCTGCCGCAGTGGGACGAGTACATCTGCACCGACACGGCGGGCATGGCGGCGTGTGTGCTGGGCGGCGGCGTGACGGTCAACTATATGGTGTTTGTGCACCCTCCGGCGCACGACTTTGACGACAACGATTACTGGCCCCAGGGATGGAAATGGGCCGATCTCGAGGCCGCGGCAGAGCGCCTGTATGCCGTGAATAACGGCACCATCCTGCCCTCCGCCGACGGCAAGCGCTACGACCAGGGCATGTACGACATCCTGTCCGCCTTCTTCGCGGCCCAGGGCTGGACCTCGGTCAACATGATCTCCCAGCCGGATGAGAAGTACCAGGTCTACTCGCATCCGGCGTGGAACGTCAAGAACCAGATGCGTGCCGGCCCGGTGCGCACCTATCTCCCCGTGGCGGACAAGTATCCCAACTTCACCCTGCAGATGGACACAAAGGTGCGCCGGCTGGTGCGCTCGGGGCCCACCATCACCGGCGTCGAGGTGGAAACCAGCAGCGGCGAGATCGACACGATTCACGTCAAGAAGGGAGGGCGAGTGGTTCTGGCCGCGGGCGCCCTGTCGTCGCCTCGCATCCTGTTCAACTCTGGCATCGGCCCGGCCGAGGAGATCGAGATGGCTGCACAGGGGAACATCACCGTGCCTCCGCGCAAGGAATGGATCGATCTGCCCGTCGGCCACGGCCTGAAGGACCATCCCATCTTCTCCATCATCGTCCAGACCAACGAGACGGCCGCCTTCACCGTTCCCGACGGCGAGGCCATCGTCAACGGCAGCGACACGGCAGACATCGCCGCCTACACCAACCACCACGCCGGCGTCCTCACCCAGGGTAAGCACCGGCTCACCTTCTTCACCTCCAACGTCGCCAGCGACAACATCACCCGCTACTACCAGGGTTCCTGTGCGCCCACGGGGGCCGGCAAGTTCACCATCACCGCGTACATGACCCACGGCTTGACCTCCGAGGGCGTCCTGGGCCTGGATGCCGACCAGAACACCGTCTTCCTCCAGTCACCCTATCTCCAGACAGAGCCCGACCGCCAGGCTGCAACCATGTTCATCACCGAGATGGTCGATGCCATCTCCGCCTACCCCGGTTTCGACCTCGTCACCTACCCCAACGTCTCTTCCATCTTGGCCTCCTTGACCAGCGGCATTCACTGGACCGGAACCACCAAGATGGGCACCGACAATACCTCCTCCGTCGTCGATCTGAATACAAAGGTGTACGGCACGGACAATCTGGTAAGCTCCTACCCTCCCCTCAATTCACTCTTCATCTACTCATGCTTTAGTTTGTCGTGGATGGTGGCATCCATCCCGATCTGCCCACGGGCAACATCCAGGCGACCATCATGGTCATCGCCGAGGCGGCCGTCAAGCGCATCTTGAATTACAATTAGTAGTGAGCAGTCAACAGTGAACAGTGAATAGTAAATAGTAAACAGTGGTTAGGGATAGTACCTAACACATACTCCTATCAACTAGTTCCTAGGCTCATTCTAGTAGGCTGTTAGCAGGATTAATCTAAAGTCTATCGACTAGCAGCGACTGCCGTCCGGAAAGTATCCAAAAGAAGCTCCCTCTCCTCCAGGCCGACGGCAATCCGGATCTGCGTCGGCTTCAAGCCCTGCTCAGCCGCCCAGTCGAGCTTCTTGCCGAAGAGCACCTGCGTATAGGCCATCTCGAGGGTGACCGGCAAGCCCAGATGTGGCCCCTTGTGCACGTTCAGCCCTTCGTAGAACGCAATCGTGGAGGGCAGATCGCGCAGCTCGACACTGAACAGCCCGCCATAACCGGGGCGAAACTCCTCGCCTTGGACCGGTCTCCGCATGTACTCTGCGTAATACTTGCCCGACGCGTTCAGGGACGGATGGAACACCTTCTCGACGGGGCTGGTCGGGTCCTCCGCGCAGGTCTGCAGGTATTGCACCAGGGCGAGGGTGTTGGCGTTCATGGTCGTCGTGCGCACAAGGTAGTCCTGGCTATTGGCGGCGATGGTCTGCGCGTCGGTCACGTACATCTCCGGCACGTACTCTCTCTCGTACAGGGGTTTGAGGGCGTGGTAGTGCGGCGAGGCAGGGTTCAAGACCACGCTGCCGCCCATGGCGTCGGCGTAGCCGTTGAACGACTTGGTCAGCGAGGTGATCACCAGGTCGGCGCAGGGCAGCACGTCCACGTTGGCGAAGCTGCCGACCGTGTCGTCGACCACCAGCAGCGTCGAGTACCGGCGGGCCAGGGCGTGCAGTTTCGTCAGGTCCGGCGCCGCCAGCAGCGGGTTGCCGGGAAACTCGGTCCAGATGGCCTGCACGGTTCGGCCGTGGGATTGCTCCTCGTGGAGAAAGGCCTCGAGGGCGATCAGATCGGCGTCGTCGGCCTTGCCGAACAGCTTGCACCCCTGCCCGATATCCTCAAACGCAGTGATGGTGTTGGCAAACACCATCCCGAAGATCACATTGACTCCCGGCCGGTGCTGCAGCAGGTACAGATGCGATTTGCAGATGGCGCCCATCCCCGTCGGGAACAGGAACACGTCCTCGACCGACGGCCGGGGCGAGTCATTCAGCGGCGACCGATTGAGATGGTAGACGATGCGTTCCTTGAGCTCGCCATGCGCCGGCGATGAAAACGCTCCCTCTGTGGCTTCTTCCGTCAGTTCGACCTCCTCCAACCGGTCGAGATGGCCCAGATTCGCCTCTGCAAACCGCGACGAAACCCCGACGCCGACATGCGAGAAGAAGCCCGCCACGACCGAGACGGATTCCACGGGAAACACAACCAGGAAAAAGACGTCTTTCGCCCGCACGGCGCGGATCCCAATCTCGCCTGCGGGGACGGGCTTCTTGGCGCCGCCGCCGTCGTCTCTGCGGCGGTCCGTCGCGTACTCGATGCACTGTCGCGCCGACTGCAGCGATCCAAACACAAACGCTGCGGAGGAGGTGTCCAGCTGCAGGTATTGGAGGGTTTTTTCTGTCAATGAGGCAATCAACCGGTGCGGCTTCATGCGCGGGTACGCGTTTGTGAACTCGGCGATCACACTGGGCGGATCGGCGCTCAGGCGCTCCACGTCCGACCAGGAGGGCATATGCACCGTCACGGCGTGAGGTCGCACGGGCGGCACGGCGTGCCCGAATGGAGTAGTGATGGGAGGCATTGTGGAGTAGATGAGAGAAGAGAGAAGAGAGAAGAGAGAAGAGTGTGGAGGGAAGAGAGAAGAGAAGAGAAAGGAGAAGAGAAGAAGAGGGGTAATCAAGATTGATTACGATAAGGCTAGCTTGCGATTGCACCATCGATATCTTAAAAATCATAAAGATATTATAGTAGGTATGTAGTATAGAGTATAGATGTAGCATAGAGTATAGATGTAGTATAACAAGGAGTGAGTATATGTCTATCAATGCTGACAGCTAATTTAATATACCTTGTCGGCCTTGGTGGTGTGATCCTCGGTAGCAACATCATACTCGAAAGACTCGACGAGATCGTTGCCGACCTGTTCAAAGGCATAGCCCTGCTCGCGGACATAGCGCTGGTTCTGCGTCGGCCAGACGGAGCAGAGAGCGTAGTACACGACGAAGGAGGTGACAAAGGAGAGAATCCAGCCCATGTCGACGAGATGCGTCGCCCCCGCGGAGACGGAGGCGCCCAGCTCGCCGCAGAAGCCCGGGAAGGGCAGCGCAATGCCGACGATGTACGCGGCGAGGGCCTGCAGGTTCCATCCGCGCGCATAGTAGTAGTTCTTGTTCGCCGGGGTGCCGTTGTACAGCGCCGGGATGAACATGTTGCCTTTGGACAGCAGGAAATAGTCGCACACCATGATCGCAACGACGGAGGCCTGTCAATGAGTGAGAATTGGAAAAGGATTGTGAAGATGTTTGAGAAAGGAATGTACCATAAACAAGCCGTATCCGCCGAGAAAAGTCTCAAACTTGGTGGCCGAGGCAAGGATCTTCCACGGACAGACCGCCCACGCAAGGAACTCGATGATGTACTGGCCGCGGCGCATGTTGACGTACGAGGGGAACAGCATGGACGAGTCGGCGCCAAAGGCGATCATGTTGGCGGCGATGTTGGTGCCCAGGATCTGCACCAGCCAGGCAAACGCGCACAGGAAGACGGCAAATCGCGTCTTGGAACTCCAGTAGTTGTCCAGGATCAGGTTCATCATGTCCCATTGGTTCCTGAGAGATTGGTTAGAGTCGAATGAACAACGACAACAATATGCATGCGTACCAAATGTCCGTGCCGTATTTCTCGTTGACGGCGGCGGTGGAAAGAATGCCGAGACTGGCAGACAGCGTCACTGCGATGGGATTGGAGATCTTCATGATTAGGCCAGCTCCTGCATATCAGAACGGGAGGGGGGAAAAAAAAATTACCAGTTGAGTCCAGATGGGAGCGCCCCGGCTACGAGCCCAGCGGGCATAGTCCGGCTGGTTGGTGATCAGGGTGGCAGTGTTTCTATGATCATGAGCTGAAAATCCAGTCTGCAAGAGAGTGTGAGACATACCCCATGCCGCTGTTGATGCCGGCGAGAATCAGCCAGGCCAGGCCGCTCGACGAGGTGGTCGAGGCGGCATACAGATGGGTGCCGATCCTGCCCTTGGTGTTGACCATGGCCCAGATGAAGAGGCCGAACATGGCGGGCAGCGAGACAATGGTCTTGAACCAGAAGAAGCGGCGCAGCTGGTAGGGCCGGAAGTGGCAGAAGGGCAGATGCACCAGCCAGGCCAGGAAGAAGGCCAGCATCAGGGCCGACGAGATGCCGGCGCTGGCCGGCAGGTGGTTGGGGATGTCCGTGAAGTTGTGCCCGAAGATGGCGCGCAGGATGTTGTACATGTATTCGGCGCCCGAGTACACTACTCATTAGGACGCGAGACGACGATATACGAATGGAAGAAGAGCAAGACTCACTCTGTACAGCATACCACACCACCGCCAGGATGGCTCGCGCCCCGACAAAGTAATAACTCCCCCACATGCCAAACACGCTGCGAGCCACGCACGGAAAGCCGACATGGTAGATGCTCGCCGCGCGCGAGTTGAACGCCATCGCCACGGAGGAGATGCACTGTGACACGAAGATGACGATGATCGCCTGCCACCAGTTCAGGCCGATGCCGATCATGGTCTTCCTAATATCAGCACGCGTCCAGCGTCTCGTCTCCCTTGCAGTCCACACAAACGTACCGAGCCCAGCGTCCAGTTGGTGAACGAGATGGACCAGTAGAAGGTCACATAATTCCACCACCGCCACGCTAATCACAACGCATCCAGTATAAGCAGCAATTCGAGTCTTCCAGGCCACTATTCCTTCTGTCTCAAGATGGCGGCTTACTTTGCTGTTCCGGTGGCGTGGGGAGAAGATCTGGCCTGTCAGTCGCGTGCCTCTTTTTTTTTTTTTTTTTTTTTTTTTTTTTATCGTCGAGAAGAAGAAAGAAAAATACCCTGGTTAATCCACCGGGAACGCTCTGTGTCCTCCTCCTCACGGGGCAGCTTGGCCATCGCCTTGACGCGCTGAACAAGAGACGCCATGGTGTGTGGATGATCTCGTTGAGATTCTTGGGGGGGGGGGGAGGAGGAGAGGAGAGGAGAGGAGAGGGAGAGGAAGGGAGGAGAGGAGATAAAAACTGCCCACAGCTGGAACAAGCACCTGCTCGGCCAGTTTCCTTTTTTTTCTTTTTTTTTCTTTTTTTTTTTTCTGAGCGGGGACAGCCTTATCTTCTGCTTATCTCTGCTTATCTCTGCTTATCTCTCCGCTTAACTGGGCTTAAGCAGATTAAGCGTTTTGGGTGGTGGATGATAAGCCGCTGCCAATAGGAGAAGACGTAGAGGAGATCAGGGGTCCACCAGATGGGACCATACTGGATATACTATACAGAGTATATGGGAATATGAGAGTATGAGAATATAAGAATTGTATGGTTAGTGGTGGATAGAATTATTCTCCTTTTACTAAATTAATTATTACTTAGTTTTAATTGATTGATTTGTCAAGTAATAATATGGTTGGTTGCCTGATCTCTCTGACCATAGGGTTAGCGTCTGGTGGCGATAGCAGATGTAACTCTGAATAATATTTAAGACACCTGATTATTTCTAGTTTAGTCTTCTCTTGTTAGGGACTATCGATTTCTTCTCTTAATCCTGGAGATTGATACTATAATGTCAACTGGTAAAAACCATACTTAGAGTACCCTATCATCATATTTACATAAGATAATCGATGCTGTCTTGGACTATTTCTGATGACCTCAGAATGACAAATATTCACCTATATATTGACAGTGTTTATACCCCATAATCTAGTAGTGTTGCAGAGCTTCGATGGACCCCGGCACATACAACCAAACCCTCAATTTCCCCAGCGGAAGCTGGTTCAAGAAACGCGAAAACACTCTTGTGCAAGTAGACGGCCGGGAGTTTCGACTGGCCAAAGTCATCCATGAATCCTATCTTGACGGGGGGAATCTGTGGAAAGTCCTTTTTGAAGGTTTTCCCACCGACGATCCATGCCAGACTGTGATTCTCAAGTACCGCTACGAGTATTACTTACTACCGGTAGCTTCCTACCTTATGCATGTGCGTATACTAATTCTTAGACTCCATCCATTCCTCTTTGAAACGGATAAAAAGCATATAGCTGGCAGTCGAAAATTCCTCGATGAAGTCGCCGCCATGAAGGCCTGCCAGGGATCAGGCCATACCCCGATCTACATTTCCCACGAGGTACAGCGCCAGCGCCAGCAGGACGATCCATACCCTGGAGAAGGATATGTCTGGGTGCTCGTCATGTCGAAGCTGCCTGGCCTGCGTCTGTTCTTCAGGTTTATTCCGCCGGAGCCGTTGGTCGTCACACGCCAGGAGATGAGGGATATCAGACAGCAATGTATTGATACACAAGAGTAAGGATTATAGGCTGAATGTGGTATGGTATTCTTCTGCTAATTCTATAGGTATGCCAATGCACAAGGATTCTCCACAACCCTCGGTATCGAACATGTCATCTATGATCCTGAAAGTAAACACGTATTCTTCTTTGGAATGCATCATGTGGAACCTGGAAGGGACGAGACGCCTGATTATAGTCCTTACTTGTTTCTCAATTCCCTTGAAAACCCGCCAGACATGTATGTCAAAGTGGTGGATTAATTAGAATAAATAGGGACTTCAGCTTAAATTAATTAAACTATAGTTTATCTAGATAATACTATTAGCTAGTAGGATAGACAATACACTGATATGCCAATAGCTTCTCAATCAACATTCAGACTGACCTAGCCCTATGCCTATTGACTTGTCTACAGTAGACTGAGCTTCATTCAATGTGGGCACTGAGAAAACCTACATAGGCCATGAATAATGTGAACACACACTATCTAATATGGATTGAGACTATTTCTTCTGCAACCATTCTATCTTTTTTATTTCCATCATCAGATCTACCTTGAAACGGCCCAAAATGCCCCCTTTGTCTCGATCTGCGGCTGCTGCCCAGATGAAACCGATATGGTCGCCTCTGGTACCCCTCCGCGTCGGTAATCGCAAAACTGAACACAGCTCTCGACGTATGCAATGGATCGTCTATGAAAGCCAGATCAGCTCTTGGGATGCTTTTGTTGAAGAGGCCAGGGCGTTCACAAAGATGATGCAAGGAGTTGAGACGTTGCCGCCTCGAAACGGCGTGCCAGCTTTGACTGAAGTAGATGAATACATTGTCGCTAATGAGATGGGAGTAGCTGGAAGGTTTACACAGCATGTTGGGCAAGCACTTGCTCCAGTTCTTCGAGCAAATGAGCTGCCGGTCTTTGCAGACGCTGAAGCTGGGCGAAACTTCCCTCCTGGCTGCAGTGTTGAAAGATTGCCCGATTTCATTCTGATAGAAGAGGATACGGAAAAAACGTGCCTGGTAGGGGAGATTAAAGTTCCCTGGAACACCGACCTCGACCAGATATCAATGGACATCAGGAGGGTTCTGGGTAGGTATTTTTTCTGTGTTTTGTCTTCCATCTTGTCTAATCGTCCACATTAGCCCAGGCCATCAAATACATGGACGACTGTAAATGCCGTTATGGTGTTGTCACCACCTATAACAAAACCCTCTTTCTGAAACGAGTGGATGACTGGAATTTCAAGGTATCTCCTGCCATCTATTTCGACACAAAGTCACTACCCACGACGCCTCCGACGATCAGTCTGAAAGAGGCCATGGTTTTTATTGCCTGGCTGGCTGGAAATGGCCGGCAAGATTCAGAGTATCCTAACAAGATTGGAAAGGAATTAGTAAGATCCTGTGGAAAAATGGCTATGGGTTTAATTGCTGATCCGAGTGCAGGTTCATGAGGATCTCAACCGAACAGAATAAGAGGGTTAGGATAATAGAGTGCGGTAGTTGAATTCAAATATTCCATCTTATGATACTCAATACGATTCTACAATAACCATCCAGGTTGTCATTACTCTTTGCCAACTGTTCTTCCAAGTACCAACAGAGGAACTGACTGAAAGATATATACTGATCTTGCTATGCTCAAAATAGATTGTCCAGAACGCCCAATATGTAAAAAAGAAAACAGTATATACTAAATAATTACAGAGTCGTACGATCAGGTCTTTTTTTCATACGGAAGCACCCTTGGTCAGGTCAATGTCCTCCTGCTCGTCCGAGTTGACGGCCGAGTATCCCCTGCCGCCGGCGCGACGGAACCAGGGCCGCAGACGAGTACAGCTGCGGAGGAGGAACATGGCGGCCAGGGTGGAGAGGACGCCGAGGAGGAAGATGCCGAGCGAGACGGTGGAGGAGGTGCTGCCGGCAGTCCTGTGTGGGTGGGCGTACGCGGTGGAGTTGTTGATGGTGCTGGGGTCGTCGGCGGTAGGGAGGGCGGCATCTTCTGGCCAGTACTCCGGGGCAGAGCTGCGGATGATCTCCGAGGTGCCGAGGGAGTTCTGGTCGGCGTCGAGGGCCTCGACCGAGACCCAGTCCATGTAGCCGTGGCTGATGTAGACGGTCTCGAAGCCCGTCTTGGCGACGGTGTCGAGCTCGACGGGGGCGGCCTGCTCGCTGGCCTGGGCGCGGAAGCGCCAGTGGCGGACCTCGGTGGCACCGTTCCAGCTGACGTGAAAGACGGTGGACAAGTCCGAGTCGTTGGTGCCGTGCACGGAAGCCATCAGGGTGGGCGGGGTGCTGGGTTTGCCGACCCAGGGAAACTTGTAGGTGCGGTAGGTGCTGAAGCGGTCCGAAGCGAACTCGGCCTCCATGAGCAGGCGGCCGTCGTGGGTGAACTCGCTCATGTAGCCGTTCTTGCTCCAGCCCATCAGGACGTTCTTGTTGGGCAGGGTCTGCATGTTGCCGCGCAGCTGGGTGCTGCCGCCGTCGGGCCGCAGGTAGCGGCGCAGCAGGCGGGCCTCCATGGCCTGCAGGTCCAGCAGGACGTACAGGCCGGACGAGGTGCGCTCCTGGGTGGAGACCATGTCGGCGCCGTTGTTGAGCATGGAGACGACCATGTGGGTGTCGTTGACCTCGTGGAAGCGGGCGTGGTGCTGGCGCGAGAAGGTGAAGTCGACGAGCTTGAAGTCGCTCTTCTTGCCGCCAAGGCGCCACTTGAGCTGGTGGTCCTCGCCGGAGATGAAGTAGATGCCGTCGGTGTGGCGGGCGGACAGCAGGAAGTCGCCGCGCTCGTTGCGGTCGATGGCGTTGACGTGCAGGTAGTCGGCGCCGGGCGACATGGGGCAGCGCTCGATGGGGTCGGCGACGAAGGACTCGTCGAGGGTGATGACGTCGCGCGAGTTCCACTCCCACAGCACCTCGCCGGTGGTCAGGTCCATCTCGTCGAAGCCGCCGGTCTGGATCTGCCAGGAGCGGTCGGGCTGGCCCAGCTCGGCCAGGGAGCGGCGCTCGTTGCGGTGGGCCACGGCCATGGCGCGCGTGGAGCTGTAGGGCCAGAACTCGTGGGTGTTGAAGACCTTCATGCGGGTCGTCTCCTCGTAGCGGTCGTTGTAGATGACGGCGGTGCCCAGGTCCGACTCGTGCGCCCAGGGCATCTCGACGATCATGGTCAGGTGTTGGTGCTCCGGGTCCATGGCGTCGCTCATGCGGAAATCGAAGATGTTCTCATTGTCGTGCAGACACGAGCCCGCCCACACCAGCTCGCCATCCTGATCGAAGATGTGGGCGCCGATCTGGCAGGGCATCCAGCGCCCGGTGTGAGGCTCGTTCCCGTTGACATAGTAGGGGGCGACGAACCAGTAGCCGGGGGCTACGGCCTCGCGATCGTGGTAGGTGACCTTCCACTTGAGAATTTTATTTTTCGGCAGCTACAATCGAATCAGCTGGGAGGGTAGATAGAGAGAGTCAAGACAGTGAATAGCAAATACCGTCACGTAGCTGGTAAAGTCTTCGTCGTCAAATGTCTCGCGGGCTGCGACCGTGGAAACCGCCACGGCCAGTAGCAGGAAGATCGCCCAGAACGCCATGGCGAACGGGCTCCCGGTCCGGGGGGGGTGAAAAAAAAAGGTTGATCAAATCAAATTGCTTATCCGAATCGACGGTACCGTCACTGAATTGTTCTGGTCGACAGGCATAGCATGATTGGCAACGAAAGTGACGAGGAATGCGCAGGAAATGGCATCAACGAGGAGCGCCGCGAAAGACCAGCTGGCGGCGTTCTGGGGGGGGCCAGAAGAGCCAAAGCCGCTTTTTTTTTTCCCAGACCCAGACACAGAAAGAAAAGGAGTGCAGCTGGACTCTCTTCAGGGCGGCGGGCTAGTCCGATCTGGGGAAGGCGTGGGTGAGGCGAGCCAATCTCTTGGCAGAGGTACGTAGTCCGGCCCCATTCACCGGCCAATCAGAAGCGCCGACTACAGCTCGTTCCCGCCATCGCCTGTTCCGGCCCGGTCTCCTTGTTTGACACAGTACGGAGTAGATGGAGTACTCCATACTAGATTAAGGGTTAGTAATCAATTCATAAAAGAGTAATAACAATTCACAAGTCATGAGTACCTAGGCAGGTATCCAGGCGCATGTTATCCATCTTGACAAAGGAGTGGAAGTTAACTACCTAGGTACCTGACCTGGGTAATTCCCTAGTGTTGTAGTCTTAGTAATCAGCTTTGATGCCTTAGGCAAACGACTTATACCCTACTAGGTAGGTAGGTAGTTGGTACGGAGTATTTGAACCTTAATAACTCCATTCTTCCCTTCTTCCTTGGTTCTTGCTTATGCTTGACACTAGACCGGGCGTCAAATGCACGGCCGCGTGTGGAACGGGAGCCATATGTTGGCGCAAGGGCCTGCCCGGTTTGACTACTCCATACAGTACTTGATACGATTCCAACTGGAGTTGAATAAGCAGAGGTAGTTACTATGTGTGTAGTTACAGAGTAACTACAGAGTACTCACTACATACCATCTACGGAGCAGTAACTAACTAATAGTTCTAATAGTCTGAGTCTGAGATCCTTGGATAATTGACTATCGTTCACATGTTCTCTGCTGACTCGTAGTCTGAATCCTGGCTGTCGCCGGTCAGACGGCATTGGTACATCGGATGAGAATTACTCCGCATAGTACTACTCTGTACAGAGCACAGAGTACGCATAGGTACTAAACCACTACTACATAATAATTCAGAGCGTAGTTGGCTTACTATAAAGTCACTACTCTCTAGCGAACTACTATATAGTAAGTCCCTATAAACGCCCGCTAGTGTATGTCCCAGGCTAGCCAAGGCCCAGGATTCGAGTAATATTTTTTATTCACAGAATAATGAGAATTATTCTAATGCATTCTATGTAGTACATCTCTACTAGTTATTATTATTCATGAAGCCACCACAGTCGGCCATCTACCGAAGCCCCATCAGACTATTCAAAGGTTATTGTCACTGGTGCGATGACTCTACTTGAGACACATGGTCACACACCACCCTGCCCCAAAGGCAACCAGTGGCCGCCTGTCAGGTACGCTGGCCGTGCACTGGTGGCGGTGACTAGGCGTCTGGATCATGGTTAGTCTGTGTGGCTAATTTCAATTTCAGTCTGGTCCTAGTCCCTACGTTGTACACACCTAGTTACTACCTAGGTACCTAGTAGTTAGTTAGTAACCTCTTAACTAGGTAGTTAGTAAGTAACTACCTAGGTAGTTAGTATCTCCTGTCCTACATGACTAGCACTACAAGGTCATTCTCGGATCCGAACTACCGGTCACCTCCAGCTGGTTACTCGTCCTGATCGGCCGAATGCAACTCACTTGTTTAAGGTTGGGGATTTTCCCTTCTGAAACTGGTGGAGTCTGTGGTGTGTAGGACAGGCTAAAAACATAACTAAGGGTTGGAATGGGTACTTAGTACATAGTTACTTAGTCACTCCATACTAGTTACTCCGTACCACTAGACCAGCTGGTGCTCCCATTCCACCGCCATCTGAAATAGTCTCATAACTAAGCCTGGTGGCTGGCTGATATCCCGGTGGCCCTCTGTTTCCAACCACATGGGATGGCACCGACTGTCTCTCCACCGGACCCGCGATCATTGGCAGAGCCAGACTTGACAGGTGCCGACCTAGCCTAGGTAGTAGGTACTAGGAAGGTAAGGTACTAAGCACTGTTCAACCCAGGCGGGAAGGTACTGGCTACCCAGGCACGAATTAGGTAGCGTGGCGGTCCCTTCCCCCCAAAACCTTTCCAAGACTTTCCCAAAGCTCCCAAGAGCTGCTGCTCCATCGCGCCTTCCTGGCCAGACCATCGCCGCCCAACACAGCCTAGCGCGTCTCACGATCCCCTCTTGGTCTTCCCCCCTTCAAACATTCCAGAATTTTTCCTCTTCGACTTATAATAATCCTTCGCTGACGCCTCAGTAAACAAGCTGCTGCTACTGCTGCTGCTACTGCTTCGTACTCTTCCCCTACGCTACGCACCACCACCTCGGTTTCTTCCCATCAACCTTCTGTCTTCGCACCATCCATTATTCCAAGAAACACATATATAATTAAATATCTAAACAAAAAGCCCATGAGCCAGTACGGATTACCCTCGTCTGGTTGCCTTCCCTGTCGCAAGCGTCGCGTCAAGGTCAGTTAAATCGCTCCCCCCCCTCACCTCCTCCTCCTCCTCCTCCTCCTCCTCCCCACCGCCACCACCACGACTTTTATCTCCATCAACACCACCGCCAGCGTCATCCGTATCATCAATTGAAAAGGCAGAAAGTGAAGCCTTGATCTGACTGGTATCAGTGCGATCGAAATAGAGGCGGCTGCACGCAGTGTCTGGCGCACGGCATCCTGTGTACTGGTTACCCCCGTTCGCCCACGCCGGTCGTTCGCGCGCAGAGCCGCGCGCAGACCCCGGCTGGTGACCGCCAAGGCCGTAAGACGTCAGGCACCACTTCTGGTAGGCCCTTGTTTTGTTGCCTTGGTGCCTTGTTTTTATTCTGACAATAAAGGGCGTCTCAACCATGTCAATGTCAATGCCAGCAATACCACCACTGCCCATGCCAGCAATTCTAGCAGCAGCGTCATCCCTCTCCCCCCCACCTACTCCCGCGAAGATACCTCGCTCTGTCACTTCTTCCATCAGCATATTCTCCCCGCCGAAAATGGCTTCAACAACGGCCATCTCTCCTACCTGCCGGACTTGTTTCGAGAGAAACCCAACTCGTGTCTGAAGCATGCCGTCCAGAGTGTCTCCTACCTGGCCATGGCCAACAAGTCCGGCGCCCAGCCGCTCTACACCGAAGCCTACCGCAGCTACGGCCGTGCCCTCAAGTCCTTGACCACCGCCTTGGATGCTCCCGACGGCGCTCGCGACGACTCCAACTTTGCCACCATCGTCCTGATGAGTATTTTCGAGGTATTTTTTTTTTTTTCCTTGCGTATTGAATCTTTTTTTTTTTTTTTTTTTTTTTTTTTTCTCTGACTCAATAGGACTTGGCGGGCGAACGCGTCAACCTCATGAATTCACATGCCCGCGGTATCTACAGCGTCATCTGCTACCGTGGCAAGGCGCAGCGAAAAACAGAGCGTGGGCATAATCTGTTCGGCTGGGCTTTGACGCAGCTGGTAAGTTTGCATCTATCCATCCACATCATCCACAGACAACTAATTGAGCAGCAAATTCAAGCGATTGCCACCGCGTCGGCTCACTCGCAGTACGATTTCCTCGACAGCATCTGCGGCTCGTCGGACGATATCCTCGACGATACCAAGTCCGCCGAGGCCTTGACCTGTCGCATGGTCTCCTTCTACCGCAAGTCCCTTCAGCTGTCAGACATCGCCAAACGGAACCCGGACGCCCTCAACACTCCCGACATGCAGGCCTGGATTCAACAATGTTTCGATGCCATGCACCAGCTCATGCTCGACACCGCCCTGTGGTATACCTATATCCCAGAAACCTGGAAACTCCAACCAACAACTTCTACCTCATCTTCATCGTCTTCTTCATCTTCTTCATCTTCATCATCTTCATCATCTCCATCTTCATCAACTTCATCTTCATCTTCATCTTCATCTTCATCTTCAACTTCAGCTTCTTCATCAACTTCTTCATCTCCCTTCTCTCCTCCACCATTCCCACGACCATTCCGCACAAAATGGCAAGCCTCCTTCCTGACTCTGTTCCGCACCTGCGAGCTGGTCTTTCTCCTCAGCGTGATAAGCTTCTGCCGCCACGTCAACCCAGCCGACTACCTCTCCTCCTCCTCCTCCTCCTCGTCGAACGCGAAGAATACCAAGCCCCGCCCCCCGCCAGAGAAGGTCCTAGCCCAGATCCGGAGCAAGATCCACTGCATCCTCGCCGACATCTGCATGAACGTTGGGCTGACACTGGGCGCAAACATCGTCGCCGGGAAAACGGGCTACGCGCCCTCCGGCCAGGCGGCGGGCGCCTATCTCCTTCTCTGGCCCATGTGGGTGCTCATGAACTGCCGCTTCGCCACGTCCCAACAGCGCCAGCTCGGTAAGAATATCCTTGACTACATCGGCGGCGAGATGGGCTTCAAGCTGGCCACGACCGTCTACTCGAGGGAGTTCCCCCTCTCCCACTTGGCGGATGTAGATTAAAGCATTTAACCCAATGTACAAAATTCATGACCCTGTACGTACAAGTATGACTGTAGACTATATTCCATGTATACTATCAACTAGTATCAACTATACTATCAACTAATATCAACAGGATCAAGCATCAAACTATCACGCAACTTAATGCTTCTTGCAGATGAAGCTGACCGGCTGCGGGTGCAGCTTAGCCACGTTGCCAGTGAGATGGACCGCCTCTCCCTCGCACGATACTTGGCTGTATTCATTAGAGCGTATCATAAAGTGTTAGCAGGGGGGAAGTCACATACGAGTAGAACGAGCAGACGGTGTTGGCCGGGATGGCAATGGACTTGGGGTACGGACTATTCAGTTAGCAGAGTATACGATGGACGATCATAGATACCAAAGGCATACTTCTGGAGGTTCTCGCAGGTCGTCGGGGTGTCGTAGGTCGTTTTGACGCCTTTGTAGTCGAAATCATTGTATCCCCAGACCTGATCGTTAGTCACTACCAGTGAAACGAGGGAGGGAGAAAATACCTTTCCAGCGGGGGCGTTCTGGGCAGTGACGCCGGCGATGAAGAGGGCGAGGCCAGTGTAGATGAAACGCATTGTGGTGGTGGTAGTAGTAGTAGTAGTAGTAGTAGTAGTAGTAGTGTTGTTGGTGGTGGTGGCAGTAGTGAAGAGTATACAGTTGTTGAGAGGAGATATTTATAAGATATTCAGAAATCGACTGATCAAATTAGTCTAGAATTCAGTTACTCCGTAGACTCCAATATTGAGTGCCGATATGCAGCCAGAGGTTTGTACAACCTCACTTACGGAGTACTCATTTCTCTCATGGGAAATGCACCTGCAGAATCCTTATGCAATTACCAAATACCTCATGCAGTGTCACTTAATAGAGATTACCATTAGTACCCCGTACTCCATACTCTGTACCTCCCCCGAAGACGATCTGTCGATCAACGATATAACGGTGTTGATCTCCTGCACGGCGTCCAGAAGAGGTTCTTTTCACCCGCAAGAAAACGGCCTGAGCTCGCTCTCGCCTCGCCTGTCGGGTGTATGGAGTATCAATAGTTGAGGTTATGTGAGGGATGATTATAGTGTCTATATTTATTGGTTGCTGGCGATCCTTGGATGGGATCATCTAATAAATAATTATTCAGTACTTTTATGAAGGACAGTCTATTCAGAGTATGGAGTACTCTGTACCCCATATGATGAGAATAATCCTGATCAATGATGCTAAGAGACCCTGGATTATGATATCCTAGCTATTACAAGACAGAGGTTACAGCCCTTTATCATCTCTATAGGCGGCAGTCTTATATTGTTAAGAGTATGAGCGTATGTATGTCTCATATATCAGACTAGAATCTACCAAAGGTACATTTTCATCTATATCAATCTAATGTCAATTCAACAGACGTGATGATTGCATGTAGAATATTACAAGACAAGGAGACTTGATCTTGCTGTCAGGCAGTCTAGATTAGATGGCCTCATTTCTCATGAGAATGGTATAGAGGCACTTTTATAATCCCAGCCAAGGTGATGCACCATATTCTATGCTTAAGCCTAACTAAATTCGTTTCTTCATCATGAATATAAGTCTTGACTTTTCTGTAGCTAACCCAATCACAGACACAATGTCTAGTATTAGAGAGCTGATAGAGAAGGTGACAAGGATTAAATATACTATAAACACTTTCAGTTAAATCTTCAGTAGGGTTGATATCAATTAATAGATCAATGATGGTGATAAATCCATAAAATAGAACTATATATAGGATAGTACGTTCTGACTATTTATCCTCGATTCAGGACCTACGTAGTAAAGTGAAGTAGAGTTGCATCTACCACCTAATACTGGATTACTACAGAGTACATAATATTCACTACATAGTTACCTGTAGTTATATTAACTAACTATGTAACTAGTGCATCTGACTTGGCCTAATTCCATTGAGGAAGTCATAGGAATTATGAATCTCAACTTTATGCCGAGATATGTTTCCCCGCTTCAATCCACTGGCCGCGTCATCTGTATGACCCCGTATGAGTATTCTGTAAGGAGTAGAACTGACTTAGCTAACAGCTAGAAGTACTCCCTACTACTACCAGTATTCGATGCACTTTGAAGAATTAGTGACCCCTATTCCCTCTGTACACCACTCACTAACAAATGATATGGCAGACTGCTCTAAGCAGATTTTCTCATCGGAGATGCCCGGCGGCACTGGAAAAGGAGATGCATGCATGTCCTGATCTGATTGGAGAGCCTCGTCGAGAGCGTAATCTAAGTAAAGGACCTAGCGAGTCATGGGCAATACGAACCCGAAGACCTAGAAGTACTTTGGGTATTGATTATTCCCGAGAGTTTGCTGAAAGCATGTCGAGTTGCACGGATTCGTAATAACTTGTTAGTATACTTACTCTGTACTCCGTAGGTCATCCATCTCAACCAGGACTTAGACCCTAGCCAGCCGCCGGCCATGTTCATCCCCGATCTTGACCACGGCCGGGTGCGTCGCGGTCTCGACCGGCGTGCTCTTCGACCAGACAAAATTAAACGCGCAGGGTTGGCAGAACAACCACGCCACCAGCTCTGTGGCAGCCTCCGTCACGCTTGCAAGATGGGCCGCGCGATTGGTCTCGGAAAGGGGGGACCTCGCGGTACGGAGCAAACGCTGTATTGAATTGCTGGACGAAGTCTCTGATTGCCTCGTGTCGAGAAGAGGATGAGGATCGGGGGTCGTATAAATGCGCTGTCAACATCCGCCAGGCAAACAATCCTGGATCGATTTCTAACAATTAGCATGAAGATTCAGGGGGGGGGGGAAATAAAAATAATAATAATGATCATACTCGGTCTGCGTCCCCTCCCTCTCAGCTGTGAAAACACTCTTCCTCCATGGTTCATACTATTGCCGCCCCCCCGTTGGATGGCCGAGGCCAGCGCTTGCATCAGTGTGTGTGTGATGACTACCCATGACTTCTTCGCCATGGAGAGCAGAGCCGCCCAGTGAGTTCAGGAGAGACGGGGAGTCGTAGACGGCCAGCGCGTCTCTGGACGCAGTATCCTGCACCGATGCAGCTCCAGTGTGCGCGGCGTAGAAATTATCCATATACGGAGTATGGACTGGCCTGGTCGAACAGAGTCAACACTCGGTTCACCATCGTGTTGTCATCAGCCGGGGCTGCAATATATCCGGCAAGGCTGAAACCAGCCAACCCCCCTCCCTCTTCCGTCTCTGCTTCTTCTGCTTGGCCCCGTCAAAGAACTGCCCAGCAGCCTCGCGCAGAAGGGCGCCCACCTGGTGTGCAGCCTGAACATCCTCATTGCCAGAATCACCCACTGCAAGGTAAAGAACCGGCACTGTTACAGCAAGAAGCCGCAGTACTGGCAAGTCCGGTTCGACGTGCACGTTGTGGTTGGGCTGGCGGATCTCCAGTTTCAGCTCTGGTCGAAGCAGACGCGGATTCGGACGAGCTAGCATGAACCAATTTTCGTCGTGGGAGTCTGTCTGAGGAGAGGAGAAGGAGTAGAAGCCAGGAGGTTGTAGGGGGGAAAGAGAAGAAGAGAAGAGAAGAAGAGAAGAGGCATTTATGAGGGAGTGAGTGCCTCAGGCCGCGGTCACTGACAGGGAGGATATTACCTTTACTCTTACTCTCTCTCTCTCTCTCTCCTACTTTTACTGTGCTTTACAGTCCAAGTTTGTCCAATATAATATATAAACCACTATATCATAGCTATTTATTACCAGCTATGCAGTAATAAGCTATTCCTGTCCGTTTGCAAGGAGGATTCGGCCTCCATCAACACAGAGAGAAACCCCGTCCACATACGCCTGAAAATAGTTATTCATCTCACCTATTAGACAAAATACTTGGTTAACCTATTCACTTACCCCTGCCTTGCTGACAAGATACAGAACCGTCCCGGCGAGGTCGTCCGCGTTCCCTGCCCGTCTGGCCGGCACTTTATCGAAGAGGGCGCTGAAGATATTCCCCTGGGCGCCGACGGGGTTCATCTTACTCGGAACGACTGTTATTCAGCATTCATCTCCTATCCTCTGATCATCAAATGCGAACGTACAGCCTGGGTTGATTCCCACCACTCGAACATAAAACCGACTGTACTTGGCTGCCAACAGCCTGACTAGATGGTCTGTGGCGGCCTTGCTGGTCGCATAACTGGTCAGGTCAACATTTGTGACATTGTGCATGCTCGCACATGAGCTGGTCACGACAATCACTCCACGGCCTTCATCACGGCCCTTGGTGGTGGTGGTGGTGGTGGTGGTTGTTTTCTCCGCCGCCGCCGCCAGGAGAGGCAGCAACGCGACGCTGAGGAAATAATGAGCTGTCGTGTTGACAGCGAACGTGTCGGTCCAGTCGCTCGGGCGTGAAGACCACATCGAGGCCTGTAGTTCGGCCAGAGACGCTGTCAACACGTTGCAGGCCACGGGGGGGTCACGACGGATGCCAGCGTTGGAGATGAGCATGTCCAGATGGGTTTCCTTGCGGGAGATGATCTGGGCGAATTCATGGATGGATTCTTTGCAGGACAGATCACATGGATATCTTCAGCATTGGCAATCAGCCTCACCAATTATTACGATTATTCTCGATTCAAGATGTACCCCTCGGCGCTCCCTCCGTCTCGACTGAGCTCGTTCAACTCACGAACCGTCTCTTCGATCGGATCACTGGCCAATGCGACCAGATATACCTTGACGCCGTTTCTCACAAGAGCCTAGACATATATAATTATACATAGCTTATATGGTTGTTATATAAATGCTTACCTGACAGATCATCAGGCCGATTCCACTGCTGCCACCTGTCACCACGGCCACACGGCCTTGCACGGAAAAGAGATCGGTAACATTCATTATTCTTGGTTGTTTAAATATCCTCAGTACTGATCTCTAGAATATTTCCAAATTATATCCAAGTTCCTCAGGATGCAGTAGATCATAAGATACCCCGCTTGTCGGAGAGGCCGACACCATTAATAATGGAATGATTACGCTGTTTATACAGTAGATATCGTTTATTGTCGAGGCTGTGCCGACTGCTTGGCCTGGTTCCGGGACGGTGGTTATACTAAGTCTTTTTGATTTGGTGCTACTCAAATTATAGCTATCAGTGGGAGTATCTGTCATTTAAGCTTGCCTTTTTTCCAGAAAAGAAAATCTGCTCCAGCACCATGCATGAATGCAACAGATGTAGTGCTGTAATGTAACTATCCCACCACCCGCTCCCATAGAGCAGCATTGAGATATCCTCCGATGTCGGTCTTCCCATCCGGATGAACGCTCCCTCCTGTGGATTCCCTCAGATCTTCCCATCGTCGCCACTGCTCATCGATCACTTCCGCCATGCCGGACGCGTTGAGGATCTCGGCAAGCCGGTAATGGCAGTCAAGCAACGCAGCACTGGGAAGAGCATAGTTTTCAGTCCCAGGAGCTCGGGTAAACTCGATACGGGGGCTCGAAGGTAGGGTCCTACTCTCAACGGTTGCGAAGTCGGGGAACAGCTTTCTCTCATATACATTTGGGACGTTCTATGGTGTTAGTCTATTGACTATAAGCTTGATAGCCTGTGGTATACTCACCGTGGGCTTGAATGCAATTTGAAAGCGGCCAAATTCTCGATGGAGGGACCCTCGTAATGTAATCCCGTTGGACAGGTCGTTGATGGAGGCGACCTGCATTCCTACTTGTCTGACGCGGGGAAAACACCGCCACAGGACCTCCCATGCGCTAGCCGTCTGCTCGGGTGGTGCCTATTCTAGTGAGTATTAATCTAGAATAATAAATAGAGAGTCTTTACCACAGTATTATCCCATGATGCGTAAGCAAACGGGATAATATGAACCCCCTCGACATAGCAGCTGTCAACGCCGCTGGGCCTCCCTCTCGCCTTATACTCATCAATGTCCATGTTCCCCGAGGCTACGCAGCAGTATCCATCCCGCTGCATGCATGATTTGCGAAAACTCTTCTTCCGTTCTTCGGGCTCATCGAGCGTGGCTGCGACAGACTCGACAGCCTGACGTCTCTTCGAATGCGGGGATTGGATAACACTGCTAGTCCGCGACCGCGCCTTCACTAGTCCTCAGAGTTAGCTGTGACAATAATCAGTAGAATAGGAAGAATGCGTATGCTACTTACTTGGCATGGCCAGAGCAGTCAGTAAGTTTATGAACACCCCATGAACCTCATCGTCGGTGGTCGCGCTGAGGATGTCCCGCGCGACTGACTCCCTGCCACCCTCAGGGAGCCAGCCGAGAAACGCAGTAAGCCCCGTTTGAAGCTTTGCCTCTTCACGCCGGTTGTTTGGCTGATACTGACCTACACGGTCCTTTGCAGCCTCAAGCAAGCTCGGTAAAGTCTGTGAGGTTTCGGTATCAGTAGACAGAACAGAGGTTCCTCTTGTTTGATTGGGGGGTTGCGCGTCCCGGCGGCCTTCTAGACGAGCTGAGCGTCGCGGAGGTACCATAGAGGGGGATCTTTTTCTCTTGGGAGGGTCCATAGCGGTAGTTACCTATGGATAGAGATATAGACGAGAGACTGCACCAAAAAGATGGCAGGAGGAACCCAGGAACTGATAGAAGTCGACGTTATGGTACCTCTAGGTACTAAATTATTACCGCGGTTCATGGGTTAGCCAATTGTTGATGGAGAATACTCACCGCCTCCGCCACCGTCCCTCCCACCGCTTCCGTATTCAGTTAGTTGTAGTGGGATGGTGTCTCTAGCAACAAGGGAAGGCTTAGCTAATACTGCCGGCTTAGTCAGCATTATTATAATAAAGCTTGGTCTCTTTTCTTTCAGCACATGAACCAGTGAATAATAGGCAAGATATATAAGATTACTCTTAAATATATTGTTGGAGGTGTCTGTCTAGTTAGGCTTAGTATTATCCTGCTTGCCTTTTCTCTCTTGCCTGTGCATCCTAGATAGCTTCACCATCATCTATCTACATATATCTCTTCCGCTTTTCTTCAAGGCCATCCGTGCCTTAACATATATTATTAAGGCTATATAAAATCTTCCCTGATGATATTTATACTAGTATATACTATATAACTAGTGAGTAATAGAGCAAATTCAGGGGGGTTTTATATTCACTAATTAATTTATTGATTTATCTATTTATCTATTTGTACCCTCTTCTTGATGTACTTTCTTTCACGCTTATCGGATCACTGTTTCCCTTCCTTTCTTCTCCACCACCAATCCCCCCCCCCCCCGCCATTCTTCGCTGCTCTGCATCGTCTTGCCTCATCGCGATGGCTTCTTCATCGGTCGCCCGAGCGGAGAATTCCTGTCGACGCTGCCATCGCCGGAAGAAACGCTGCGATAAGACTCTCCCCCAGTGCGACGCCTGTCGGCACGCTCAGGTTGCCTGCAGCTTCCTCGACGACCACGCCCAGGTCGCTTCGTTTCCCATTGCGTGAGTCAATAAATGAAATCGGTTCCAGGGGTGACACTGGGTAGGTCACCTATACTAACTGATTCGTTTTTATTGAAATAGATACGTTCGTGGTCTCGAACTGCGCGTCAAGGAATTAGAACAGCAACTGGCCGACCGACCGTCGTCAGACAACGGCGATCTCGTCTCAATCTGGCCTGAAAATCCAGCAGTAGGAAATACCAGAGTTGAGAACAACAGTCCGATTCACCAGCAAGAAAATCCGTCACCAGTGTCAAGACCACGCTCCAGACAAGGCACCGAGTCGCTCGCCGAAGAGCTCAAGGTCTTGTCGCTCGAGGCAACTGCAGACCGCCATCTAGGGCCGTCGTCCGGCATTTCCTTTGCCAAACTCACTCAGGCGGTGCTGCGACGCTTGTCGCCAGGCCGTGAAGCCTTTGTGTTTGAAGATGGAGCGGACGAGGACGAGACGGTTGAGCAGCAGCAGAGGGCCATGACTGATCTCTGGCCGGACGTCGGTTCGTCCTTGTTGAATATTGATCCGGCTCTGATATCGCCGCTGGTAGACGCGTACAAGGACCCGGTCGATATCTCGTTGCTAGACGCCTCGCACATCAGCTATCTGCTGGAATTCTACTTTGCCCACTCGCACACTCTCTACCCCATCATCCGACAGACCGAGTTCACCTCTGTTCTGTGGCGGCTGTATGCAGATCCCCTGGATCCTCTGGCGCAGTCGCCGCTGTGGCAGTTTCGCATCTGGATGGTCTTGGCTATCGGGTCGACCGCCTACTCCTCTGTCACTCTCGTCGACGAGTCCGAGTCGGTGCAATTCTTCCAAAAGGCCATGACCTATTTTGAAGCTGTCATGGGATGTGGCTATCTGGTATGTTCTCTCTTGTCGTTTCCTTCTCTTTCTTTCTTGTAGTTTGTTCTCGAATCTTGCTAAACACGCATGCAGGCTGGCTTGGAAGCCTTGATGCTTCAAGTTTCATACTCCTTCTTCAACAAGATAGGACCAAGTAAGTGGTAAATCATTCACACAAACTACCCCCCTAACAATAAGAACAGATACTTGGTTCCTGGTCGGCCTGGCGGCGAGGATGGCTATCGGTATGGGCCTGCATACCGCGGACACGTACAGATCTCTTGCTATCGATGTGGCAGAGTATCAGAAGCGCCTGTTTTTTTCGTTGTATATGATGGATCGGTATGAGTCTTCTGCTTGTGCTCTTCGTGGTATACTCACTCAATTTCATAGAGTTGTTTCTATGGCTTTGGGTCGTCCGTTTGCGATACACGATGACGATATTAATGTCGAGGTGAGAAGAAGATAAAGAGAGGAATAAGAGGAGGAAGAGAATTAAGGAAAGAATGAACTAATGAATAATCAGCCATTTTCAACTGCCGACGACGAGCATATCAAACCAGAGGGCATCACCCTGCGGTCCTCCCTCGAACCGTCAAGGATGGCGGTCCCGCTTCACATTCTAGATTTGCGCAAGATTGCCAGCGATATTGGAAGCCATGTCCATTCGATCAAGAGGGGTGATCGCCTGCAAACCGCCGCAGAGAAGGAGGAAACAATCCAGGCGCTGCACCGACGGTTGATCGAATGGAGACGGAGCATGCCTTTCCCCTTACCGGATCTTCAGTCCAACGTACCTCACCTGTGCACGAACTGGTTCGATCTGAACTATTATACCCATCTCATCATGCTCTATCGTCCCTCATCGCTCTGCCCGACGCTAGATCTCCACAAGGTCAAGATCCTGGCCGAGGCGTCCGCCATGGCCATCCGCCAAGCCATCACCATGCATCGGCAGCACCGCTTTTCCTACAACTGGTTGAATCTCTTTGGTGTCTTCAATTCGGCCCTCTCCCTCATGTACGCCACCACATCCCAGCCGGACCATCTGGCTCTAGTCCTGGACCGCACCAAGGCCATTGCAGATCTCCAGCTTGTCATCGAACTCCTCGACACGTTTGCCAAGAAGTTTCCATCTGCAAAGCGTATCCGACGCATGGTGCAGGATGTCGTCGCAAAGCTGCAACTGTACGCGGTGGAGCATAACGGCAGGACAAACTAAGCAATGCCATGACCCATGGATCCGCTTCATTGTATGGATGGCCCGGCCGATCAAATGCGGGGCATGACGCTTATCATCATCGGGCGCTCCGACAGTTGCCTGTGCGCGACATAAAAGGACAAAGAGATGAATTCCTCTCATTTTCTAGAGTCTAATGGACAGAGCTTTAAGGATGGAAAGTATCAAGATGCATACTGACTGGGCGGCCCAACTGGTCGTCCCGAAGAGCTATGTCTTGGTCGCTGTGGTTGGATTAGTGCTCTACTGGATCTACCAGGTATGGTTCTCATTGGAAGAAGAAAGAAAGACAAAGCTCACGAGTAGAATACAATGGTCACCGATATCCCATATATCAAAGGAATCCCCGAAATCCCCGGCGCGGTCCCCATGTTTGGCCATCTGCTTCAACTGGGCGACGACCACGCCACGGTGTGCGAGCGCTGGTGGCGAGAGTACGGGCAGTCCGTGTTCCAGATCAAGCTGGGCAACACACGCGCGGTGGTGGTGAACTCGTTCGAGGATTGTCGGAAGATGCTGCTGGGCCACCAGAACGCCCTGATCGACCGCCCCAAGCTGTACACGTTCCACGGCGTGATCAGCAGCACGCAGGGGTTCACGATCGGGTCGTCTCCATGGGACGAGTCGTGCAGGAAGAAGCGCAAGGCCGCGGGGACGGCGCTGGGCCGGGCCGCGCTGCGCAAGTACTACCCCATGTTCGACCTGGAGAGCTTCTGCATTGTGCGCGATCTGCGGCGCGACAGCGGGGACGGGGCGCGCGAGGTGAACGTCCGGCCGTACATTCAGCGGTTCGCGCTCAACACGACGCTGACGCTCTGCTACGGGATCCGCATGGACGCGGTGTACGACGAGCTGCTGCGCGAGATCCTGTACGTGGGGTCGGCGATCTCGCTGCTGCGGTCCGCGTCGGAGAACCTGCAGGACTACGTCCCCTTACTGCGGTACATGCCCAACAACAGCAAGACGGCGCGGTCCAAGGAGCTCCGGGGGCGGCGCGACGCCTACCTCGACCTCCTGCTCGAGAAAGTGCGCGCGATGATACGCGCGGGCACCGACAAGCCGTGCATCTCGGCCGCCATCCTCAAGGACGAGGAGACCAAGCTGACGGGCGTCGAGGTCTCGTCCATCTGTCTGTCGCTGGTCTCGGGCGGGTTCGAGACCATCCCGGGCACGCTGACCTCTGTAATCGGATCGCTGGCCACCCCCGAGGGGCAGGTCTGGCAGGAGCGCGCATACGAGGACATCCGCCGGCATTACCCAGACGTGCGCGACGCGTGGGCCGACTGTTTCCAGGAGGAGCGAGTGCCGTACGTGAATGCGCTGGTCAAGGAGGCTGCCCGCTACTACACCGTCAGCGCGATGAGTCTGCCGCGGAGGACTGTCACCGAGGTCAACTGGAACGGAGCCATCATCCCGCCCAAGACGATGATTCTCATCAACGCCCAAGCCGGGAACCACGGTATTTTCCTCATTTTTCTTTTTGCCTCCTCCCCCCCCCCCTTTTTCTTTTTTTTTTCTTTATGGTGTGTGTCTAATTGGTAGATACGGATCACTTCCCCGACGGGGATAAATTCAACCCGGAGCGCTGGCTACAATCGACGTCACCGCCGGTGGAAAAAGAGAGTGTCGGCCTGGCACACCTGAGTTTCGGGGCCGGCTCGCGCGCCTGTTCGGGCCAGTCCATCGCGTCGCGACTGCTGTACGCCGGTCTGGTGCGGATGCTGACGACGTACAAGATCGTGGCGAGCGAGAGACAACCCCCGACGACCGACTACATCGAGTATAACTCTGTGAAGAGCGCGCTGGTGGCCATCCCGCGCGACTTTGCTGTGCGCCTGGTGCCGCGCGACTCGGCAGTGACGGCGGAGTGTTTGGCTGCGGCGGAAATGCGGACCAAGGAGCATTACCGGTGATGCATCATGGCATAGTGAATTGCATAGTGAATTGCATACGGAGCAGGAGTGCATGGCAGTGACAGGGATGTTCACACCATAGTCGACCACCTCCGGTGCTAATAGCCGACTATCAGCTACTAAATGTTAGTACAGAGTATACGGTAGTATATATTAGATAACTCGACTGGGCGGGTCTCCCCTGAGTCAACCAGGGGTATCTATCTAGTACTCCGTACTCCCTCCCACACTAGCTGAAGCGAGCACAAGGACGACAATGCATTGTTCTAGACTGCAAGTGCCAGCTAATGCCAGTCAGCTACGCGGGACTAGCTGGTAGTGCTCATTCAATCGGCTGCCGGATAGACGAGCATACGCACGTCCGCCGCGCGTGGGCCCGGTGGATATGGGCCCACGGGGATGTACGGGATGATGAGAGAGGGATATTGAGTGGGGAGATGAGGAGAGGGTGAGATTAGTTCTGGATAAATGTATTGTATGTGTAAACATATTAGTTATACATCTATATACTACATACTATATACTATATACTACATACTATATACTATATACTATATGCTATATACTATATACTATCATAACTATCATAACTATCTGACTATCTCCTATTGAGAATACGAATAAGAACCATGGGACAGACCCGGCTAGACTACATCCGGCTAGAGCCGATAAACCCTGTCGATTAAGCGTAAAGTATATCCCGAATAGGAAGGGATAGCCATGAGAGCCTGACAGTATACATGGTATACATGGTATACATAGGCAGTATATAGGCAGTACATAGGCAGTACATAGGTGTAGATAGTATATATAGGTATATCCTATATAGAAGCTATATAGAAGCTATAAATATTATAGGTATTAGATACTATATACTATAGTATATATGTAGTATACTGAATATACTGATTCTATATCTACCCACATCGGCCGAGTCCCGAAACCTTCTGCTTTGGCCACCGACACAGACCAACGTGGGTCAGGGGAAGAACAGGTCAAAGGATCATTTCAAGAGGACACTGGATCGATCGATAATCGCGCAGCTATTGCAACGCACTTGTAGTACAGTATATGCTGTGTCTATAGAGGAGAGGTATTACTGTCGATACTAGAATCCCTATTCGTTGCGGATCGTCACGTCGATCTGCTTGGTGATCCCCCACTGCGCATCTCCGAGGATCTGCCGCGTCGACTCGTCCTCGTCGTGCATCTGGCTGGTCTGCCGACTGTATTTATTGCGCGAGTGCGAGGCAAGCCCGCTGCTGGCGTTGCCGTACCGGTTCGTCAGCTCGTACGTGTGTTTGGGCGAGCTGCTAAAGTTCTTCGACATGGCCACGAACAGCGGCCGCAGACACGGAATCGACGAGGTGATGATCACGATCGCGCTCTCGATGTACACCCATCGCAGCAGGGTGACCTGGTCGACGGTTGGGTCGGTTGTGTTGGCGATGGTGCTGAGTTCGACCGTCTTGACGATGGAGGCCACCATTGCACTGTCGATCAGTACAACGATGAAACACAGCAACACAACACAGTATATAGAATAGACTTACAAGATCCCCAAGCCTAATAGACACACCAGAGCCACCTTGATGCGAAACCGCAGCTGTAACCCCCAGAAGGTATAGGTGGGAAACACGGCCAGGAATAGGTCGGTGGCCGAGTTGAACGCGCCCTGGAAGTAGCCATAGTTGATCTGGACGCTCAGCGCCATGCAGTTGGTCTCGGGCAGCGTATAGTCGAACACGGGGGCGACGTCGGCGCCGCACTGCAGGAAGAGCAGCAGGATCGAGACGACGTTGATGACTCCCTGCGCGACGACCAGCAGCCAGAAGACCAGCCGCACCGGCGACGACGAGGGGAACAGGCGCACCAGGTACACGATGAAGGCGATGCGGCCGACGGTGCAGGCCGAGATACCCAGCGTCTGGGTGACGCAGTAGTACAGCACGGCCTTGACCTCGCGGGCGTGCGCCAGACTGCTGTAGTGGTGGCCCAGACCGTACGCGACGGAGACGTTGGCGATGCCGGAACCGGCGATCAGCAGCGCCAGCGAGCCCAGCATGATGATGTCGTCGGCGCTGAACTTGTTGATCTTGATCTTTGCGTAGATCCGCAGCGCCATCGTCACGATCGAGAGCGTCGTCAGCGTCCAGATCGTGGCCAGCAGGCCGCTGCCGATGTCGTATGCGTCGTAGGCAGTCGTCATGGAGAGGTGGTGGAAGGAGAATAGAGGAAAAGAAGAAGAAAAGAAGGAGAGAAGAAGGAAGAAAAGAGGAAGAAGAAAAGAAGGACTGAAGGAACGAAGGATTCTTGCAATTACCAAGGATAAAGTTCAAGTAAATAACGCAAGAATCAATGGAAGAATCTGTGGCAATAAGAATTGATTCCATCGAGAAACCAAAGATTCTTAGTGAAACTGCTAAGATAAAGGCTAGTGAAACTGGTATTTATCTCTTCTCTTCTTCTCTTATCCCCTTCTTCTCTCATCCTCTTCTCTTCCTCTCTTCCTCATCCTCTCTTCTTCTTCTCTTCTTCTCTTCTTCTCTTCTCTCATCCTCTTCTCCCTCTCCTCATCTCTTCCTCTCCTGTTCTTCCTCTCCTCTTCGATGGACCCCCCCGGAACTGTTCGTCTGGAGGATCGACAGGGCGACCATCTCGTCCTGTCGCCCCAACCATCGGCCGATCCCAATGAACCACTGGTAGGTCCATTATTCAGACTTCCAATAAGACTCCATCTGATCGTCAGAACTGGTCAACCCCCCGCAAAGTCCTGCATATGACCCTGCTGTGTCTGTACACCGTCTTCGTCTTTGCCACCGTCACCGTCATCACCCCCGTCTGGCAGGACCTGCTGGTCGATCGAGGCTTCAGCTACACAACCCTCAACAATGCCGACGCCACCAATTTCGCTGCTCTGTCTGTTGGCTGCTACCTGTTCGTGCCGTTTGCCTTGCGCTTCGGTCGTCGTCAGGTGTACATCCTCACCGCGCTGATCATGTTCGCCGTCGGCATCTGGCAGGCCAACATGAAGACCCTGGGCGATCTCTTCGGCTCCCAGGTCGTCGGCGGCCTGGCGGGCGCCGTCAACGAGTCGCTCTTCCAGGTCACCGTCGCCGATCTGTTCTTCGTCCACCAGCGTGGTACCATGAACGGCATCTACCTCATCATGGTCACCATCGGCAACAGTCTGGGCCCCGTCGCGTCCGGCTACGTCGCCGCCAACCAGGGCTGGCAGTGGTCCTTCTGGTGGTGTGCCATCTTCATGGGCATCACCGCCGTGCTGATGATCTTCTTCCTGGAGGAGTCCAAATACGACTATCCTCAAGCGATGGATGAAACTGCCTCGACGGTCAACGGCAGCACTACTACTGCTGCTACTAAAGAAGAGGCCAGTACAGCAGAGAAACACATCCCCGAAGAAGGAGTAGATGAACCGTCTGCCCTGCGCCGCCGGGTGTCCATCGACACCTCCATCCCCATGCGCAGCTATGCCGAACGCCACCCCTTCACCTTCTCCGCCAAGGGCTTCGACCTGCGCCGTTTCCTGACGCACTACTCCGAGCCCATCGTCATGCTGTACACCTTCCCCACCGTCGCCTTCACCGCCATCCAGTACGGCTTCAACATCGCCTGTCTCGCCATCCTCGTCATCACCCAGGCCACCATCTACCCGGAACCCCCCTATGACATGTCCAGCATCGCAGTCGGGAACATGGAGATCCCCGCCGCCATCGGCTCCCTGCTGGGCGCCCTCTTCGGCGGCCCGCTCATCGATTACTTCCTCCTGCTGGCCGCCAAGCGCAACGGCGGCATCTACGAGCCCGAAATGCGTCTCTACCTCTACTGCGTCCCTGCCCTCTTCATGGCCGCCGGCGTGCTCATGTACGGCCTCACCATTGCAAAGGGTATGCCCTGGATCATCAACGGCGTCGGTTCTGCCTTTATGGGTGCTGGTCTAGGCGGCATGTGTGATATGTCGCTTGCCTATCTGCAGGATTCATACAGGGGGGTAAGTTATTCTTATCAAAAAAATTATATATATATCTTATACGCTGTGATACTTATACTAACTGTTTTAGATGGTCGGTGATGCCCTCGTCCCCGTCGCTTTCGTCCGTAATATCTGCGGTACCATCCTGGCCTTTGCCATCCCCTACTGGATGGACGGGATGGGCACGTACAACATGTTCGTCCTGCTGGGCTGTCTCTCGCTGGCGTTGTCGGCCCTGCATATCCCGATGATTATCTATGGGAAACGGAGCCGCGAGCGTTGCGCCGACAAGTACTACGCTTATCTCAAGCGGAATTGACGCTAGGCTATGCTTCGATATCTATATAACCAGCATGTTGTTAATAGACTGTATTGTGTCCTTGATAGCGTTCAATATAGAAGCTCGAGTCTTATCTAGATTGTGTAATAATATCTTCGGAATGTTCCTTCTTTCTACTTATCTGGATATCTATCTTATCTCCATCTTCCAAAGTATAATGTGCACTATTGAAACAGGTAATTACAGCCTACCAAGTTATCCACACTCCGTTTGCGTCTAGCGTTCGCCACCTCATCCATTGTCTCATGGTCTAGGCGTATCCTAGATCCTGATCCTCGTAATTAGAGTACTCCGTATACCCATGGATCGGCTACCGGTCGGCAACTGGGGAACGTGGGAGCTTCGTTGCATCAAGGAATGGCCCTTGAGGTATCTGGATCATTCCCTTCTCACAAGATAATCAAGCAATGTCAATAAAGCTATATGACTCTATATAGAGGCTTCAGGTGATTGTCAGGATATCAGGTTATGAAGTATGGCATAGGCAGATGAAAGATAAAAGGGGTTACCTGGGTTTCTGGAGAAGAAATCTCTGGTAAGATCCAAAGCTTAATCTGTGTCTGTTGATATGGTTGGTGGAATTTAATCAAGTATTCTCTTCTCACTCCGTGGATATAACCATCACCGCTGTGCTAATACTGACTGTGAACCCAAATTCAAACTGAAAAAATAATGTACTATATCGTGGATCCTTGATCGGGTCCGTAGATCGTCGATAGGGCTGTCGAACACACCTTGTACACTCCAAAGGACATCAAGGTAGGAGTAAAGAATTGCCATGAGATATGTCCTGAGTAGGTCAGTCCTAATCAAGCATCATTTCAATGGGCTCCATGAGCATCTCGTTTGCCTCCGCTTCATTCGTTCGTCAAACAATAATGGTATACCATCTCGGGTCAGCCTGTTAGCTCAGCATCTGCGGAATTTTGACTGTGGAACATTTTCAATAAATCAGGACAAGAGTGTGATTTATGTCAATGACTGCCGAAATATGGTCGGTTTAGCTCAATGAAATTCTGAGTGGAATCATTCAGAGACCTTTGGTCTGTCTTCTATGGGGAGAAGATGGTGGGTGTTCGAAAACAATCATCATGTCTGTTGGGACAGAACATCGTAGGCTTCCGCTTCTTCTGATCCTTTTTCCCTTCCCCACGGTCATAATTTGCATGTCGCAGGTGGGAAATCAATATAAGATCCTGATTGACACCATTCTGACAGGTCCCAGATGACATACAACTCCATCTATGTCGAAACCGTGACATAAATTGGCTCGGCTGCTTCCATCGTCAGAACATACTGGTAAGTGTCTTCTTTCTCCCCCCCCCCCAGAACTGATTCCCCTGCGATAATTGTCTCGTATGCCGATTCCGTGATGTTTGCTCACGCCTGGCTTACCATTTCTGCGGACAAGATGAGCTCGTACCGGAGTCGACTTCACTCTCGACTCCAGTTCCCTCGGACTGTATATGCTCGATTCTTTCTTTGTCTTCATCATAATCAATTTCTCCTCTGAAACTCCTGACAATAGAGAGTCCATAATGTCCACTCTCAGCATAGGAGAAGCTTTGTTGCGGATCGTGTCGGCCATTCTCCTGTCCGGGAATCGGTAATCAGCACTCCTTCAAATAGAACCAACACATGCAAATTATCTCGAAAGCCACTCCCCGTTGACCTCTATGACCCAGCCACACCAGCGCAGTCCACTGTGATGCTATTCTCGTGGGTCTCGCTTTCTGACAGCGAATGGCGCCGACACTAAAGCAACTGTGGATCTCTTGCATGTGGCTTGGTTGTGATCGCTGCTTGAAGGTTCAGGGGGTGAAGGTATAGACGAACCACACCATGTGCTCGATTCGAGGTCAGATCTGTGATTGATTTTCAAGGATGTCAGAATAAATCCCTGATCAAAGGTGGTCTTGGGAGCCGAACCCTTTCCCCTGGTCCGGCGAACTCTCCATCGATCTTCTGGCGAATTCCGACGGGTCTCTTCCATCATACACCGAGCTTTCACCACACAAGTTCATCGTCATTCCCGCAGAGTCCCCCAGAGGACTTCCTGCCAGGGTATGTGGTGGTTGAAGAGAACGTTGGATAGTTGGAAGAGCAAGGCTGGCTGCGGCAGGTGACTCTGGCGGGGCAAACAAAACAACAGCAAACAAACGACTTCCTCCCTCCAACCCCGCCCGTTGCCTGTCCTTTGCCTCCCTTCCAGACTCCATTTTCGTTTCTGACAGATTTTCTCTCCCTCCATCCATCAATCTGTTCGGGTTGGAAGCTCGTTGTTTCGCTGAGGAAGCCTCAGAACCACCTTAGCTACCGTCCACTGCAACAACCGTCAAGCTGGAGGTGTTCATCCACAATCTTCCCCGCGACCTCACCGAAGATGGGTTGACTACTCACCTCCAGCCGTTTCTGACCAAGCTGGGCATCCTCGATTACCTCTGCGAGAAGCCGAAGAAGAAGACGTTTGGGCATGTGACCTTTCTGAGCCATTCAGACGGGACGCGGTTTCTCGCCGTCCATGGAGAGGAGACACTGCCGGAGAACTCGCGCGGGCGTCCAGCTCTAAGATCTCGACTGAAACTGATGGGAGTTGGCGTATACTGCAAGCTCAGTGTGCGACAGCCGCAGAAGTTCACGCTGAAGAGCCTCCAGCTCACCGCCGAGGAGCGAAAGAACCCGACTCGCGAGACCGAGGAGGAAGGGAGGCCCACGTCGTTCACTCTGCGGTCCTTCAGCTGTGGATATTGTATGTATGTCGGCGCAGATTTGGCCTACGTACCCGAGGTGCAATGGCCAGACCAGGGCTTTCTGCGGTTCAGCAGGCGGAATTTGGTGGTGAAGCTGGGCAGCCAGACTCTCATTCGAATCCCGCTCAACACCGTCATCCATCTGGTCTGGTCGCCGAGAGGCTCACTCAATCTCACCCTCTCTACCGTCCCCATCTTCAGTGGTAACGATGGCGATCCCTTGAGCCAGGCCTTGCAGAGTCTTGCGATTGATTTCAAAGGTGCCCGGTTTTTCCGCTTTCCGGAGATCAAAAAGTCCCGGCTCTGTTCTCTCTCGGAGAGTCATGCGCAGGTAGTCGGGCAATGTCTCGTTTATCATTTCGATGTTGTCCCCACCGATATGTACCGCCAAATCGATGAGCTGAAGGAACGAGAGATCACAATCATGAGATACGAGCTGGTCTCTCTCAGTCGGTCGGCAGGAATGTTTGCGTTTCATATGAGGGTGCTGATGAAAGAACTGTCAGATTATACCGTCGATAATTCCCTTCCCTTTGAGATCTTGTTTCAACTACAGTCTCTGGCTTATAATTCGTATCTTCATCCCACCGGGGTCCTCAACCTAGCAAGGGAGCTGCGCAGTATTTTCAAGGCTCGCAAGCTGGCCAAAAAGAAGCCAATCTCTGTTGATGCGATGAAGAAATTTCTCGACACTATTGATTGGCCATCCCCTCATGGGGATCCGAAAGATTTCGAAACCGCTCAGTTGGTCAAAACCTTGGAAGATATCGAAGACGATATCCAGAACGGCCTCGTCTACAGAAAAGGACTCTCCGATGCACCTCCGAACCTGGCTAGAGTCCATCGAGCCATGGTCTCGCCCACGCGAATCACTCTACATGGACCGGAGTTGGAACCTAACAATCGAATTCTGCGCAAGTTTCCCAAGCATCGCGAGTATTTCCTTCGCGTACAGTTCTGCGACGAGAATGGACAGGACTTGCACTTCAACCCAAAACTTAACCATGAAGGAGTCTTCGTGCGGTTTAAGGATATTCTGAAAAGCGGAATACAGATTGCTGGTCGGACTTACAAGTTCCTGGGGTTTTCGCACTCGTCTTTGCGATCTCACTCCGTTTGGGCAAGTATCTTTTTTTCTATCTACTCTGTAAGGTTGCCTGTTGTCTGACTCGATCTCCCAATAGTTTTCCTCCCCGTTCTTCGAGGGCGGCGCCATGCAGACGTACTTCACAATCATCAAAGCTCTCGGCAACTTCTCACACATCACGTCTCCGGCGCGGTGTGCAGCCAGAATCGGTCAAGCCTTTTCTGAGACTCCATTTGCTCTTGCATTGAAGGAGAATAGTGTCACGGTTGTGAATATACCGGATATAAAATCCGCTGATGGTTCTCGTGTCTTTAGCGACGGGGTGGGAACCATTTCTTGGGATGTGGTGGAAAAGATCTGGGCAAGTCTCCCACGACGAAAGGGCTCGCCCACGTCCTTTCAAATTCGGATGGGTGGTGCAAAAGGCATGCTTGCCCTGGACCCCCGACTGGCTGGCTCAGTCATCCAGGTCCGACCGTCCATGGTCAAATTTGAAAGCGACGATATGGGAAATCTGGAAATCTGCGACATGGCGTCGAAACCCATCCCACTTGTCCTCAACCGTCAAGTAATCAAGATTATGGAGGACATGGGCGTTCCGGAGGCCTGGTTCAGCAGATTGCAGTCTACAGAAGTCAGGCGTTTGAGACAGGTCACTGCCAATACCGGAAACACGGCCAAGTTCCTAAAGGAGCAGAACACAGGGGACTCGATCAAACTTCACAAGCTGTTTCGCCTGTGCGAGAAATTGCGCCTGGACTACAAGATGGACGCCTTTCTCCGCTCTGTCGTCCAAGCGGTGATTCTGCGGGAACTACGTCTGCTCAAACACAAGGCCCGCATCCCAGTGGAAAAGGGTATGACTCTCTTTGGTATCCTGGACGAAACCGGCTTCCTCAAGGAAAATCAGGTCTATGTCGCGACCGACCGATACATACAGCCCCCTGGACCGGGCAAGGTCCTTGTCACTCGCTCCCCCGCTCTGTATGATGGGGATGTTCAAATCGCGGAGCATGTCGTCCCTCCTTGGAACCACCCACTGAGGCAACATACGAGTTGCATAATATTCAGCAGACAAGGCAAGCGTGACCTCCCAAGCCAGCTGAGTGGTGGAGATCTGGATGGAGATCTATACAACGTGATATGGGACCAGGATGCCATGCCCCCGCAAATTCAAACGTTCTTGCCTGCCGATTACCCTCGCGTCGAACCCCTTAACATCGGACGCGCTGTGACTGTCGATGACATGGCTGGGTTCTTCGTGGACTTCATGAAGACAGATCACCTTGGGGTGATCGCCATCCGTCATATGATTCTCGCGGATCAGAATGAAGAGGGAACGCGCCATCCAGACTGCAAGAAGCTCGCAGAGCTACATTCCACCGCAGTGGATTTTTCAAAGACTGGAATCCCCGTGATGATGGAGCATCTCCCCAAGGCAAACGCCTATAGACCCGACTTGTGAGTACCTAGAAACACCCGAAATTTTTTCCAATCTAAACTGAGGGACCAGTTTGGCACCTGGGCCGCAAACACGACTCTATGATAAATCCGAAATTGCGCTCGATCCCCTTGTCTTACCGGCTACATATAATGAGGACGAGGACGACATTGCCCCGCCGCGGAAGTACTACCGGTCTGAAAAGATACTGGGCAAACTGTACCGAGCCATAGACGAACAGAGGATCTGGGCCAATGATATCCGACGTCAACCGATGCCCTATGCGCGTCCCTTTTGGGAAGAATTCCTCCGTGATTCAATGAGACGATGTCTTTCCTTAGGCCCCATCATATGGAGCCACCGCTGCGAGGAAGCCAGACACATTCAATCAGCGTAGGATATTGGATTTTACCATTTGAAAATTCTGTTTTGTTAATAAGTACTTCTGATAGATACGAAGACGCAATCATCTCCGCGATGAATGAGTACTCAGACCATCCGATCAACCCAATCAGCGAGCTGGAGGTCTTCATCGGCTTCATCATCAACAAGACAGGCGTGCAGACTCACCGACAGCGAGACCGATCAATCCGACTGAGCGAGGAATTCGAACGCATTTCGGCCTGGATTGTTTCGCAGATGCGCAGATCCCGTGGCGATACCGCCTCCGTGTTGAGTTATAGCGGGGAATTCGACGCCCTCGAGCTTTGTCTGGCCTGCGTGCATGTCGGGGTGCAGCAGGACCAGGGTACCTCGTTTCGCCGGCGCAGAGACGTGTACGGGGACATCAAGAGCTTCAAGGTGGTTGCTGCCTGTGCCCTTCTGGCCGAGTTGGATGATATCGAGAAAGAGCGAGAAGGCGGGGGCTATATCGGCGTGATGTCCAGAGTACGGGGGTAGGATAGTACTGGTATCTAATGATCATTTCCTTTATCTAGGCTGTATGCGCCTTTATCTGGGTTGCTTCGAGCTCACTTATATTCTATTCCATGGGATGAGAATGACAACTTGACATTATTCATTATTTAGGTAGGAGTGGTAAAACTGTGGCATGTTTTTCAAAACAATTTGCCTCGTTCCATACCATCTCAAAAGCGTTTCCATAAAGCCTAGGGACCCAGAAAAAAGACTGCACTCGGCCCTTGACGTCGGCCCAGTCACGGCCGCACAGATCCATGGATAATCCGAGCGACTGAATAGACGACAGGTACCAGTTCTTGAGAGGAGGGTTGTTGGATGTTGAGCATCCTGCTAAGAGCAAGACCCATAACTGAAAGTTGTTAAAGCCGTCATCATTACAATAGATATGCTCATTCTGAGTCTGTTCAATCAACGACTTGATCCTGAGCTGCAAGACGTTGCTGCCAGTCCCAAAGGCAGATTTATGGGGAAGTTTCTCTGCAATAGTCCATAGGAGCTGAAGCAGCGCTGTGCGGAGCATCTTAGAAAGTATAGAGTCACATTCGAGGGATAGCATATCATATTGGAGGAAGGTGAGGGCAGTGCGAACCGCGGTGGGATTGATCGTGTCGTCTCCTTCACAGAGCTGGTTCAACGATTGGACAGTGTGTGCAAGCCGCGCAATTAGGCTTGTCATCCGGTCATTAGGACAGATCACCGTCTGCAACGCTTTCGAAAGACCACAGTCTAAACCAATATGGGGATGAGGGAACTTTGAAAAGTCGTCGCTAAAGTACAGTCTCTCGCCGGTCTCGATGCACCCACACAGATCGGCTCTAAGTCACGGTGAGATGTCAGGTTCGCTCTGGAAAAGTTATAAACGGCCAACCCTACCGTTGTATTTTGTTCAAGATCAAGGGCGAAGAGATGAATGCGTTGAGTCCGCCACGTAGCTGTACAAGCTCGCGCAGTCCCTTCATGTGGATTCTCCAATTCTGGTGATAGCCGGTATTTTCCTGCAAAGAAAATAATCAGCACTGCGAGATCGATACAGCAGCTGAATAATCAGGAGATGGGAATACCTCGATCATGGCTACTGTACACACAACAGCGATGTTGGCGTCAGACGTTGCTCGAGACGAGGTCCCTTCAAGGTCCCGGTTGAGCAAACGGATTGCTGCATTCAGGTGAAACACTGCGAGCCGGTCATGAAACGACCCAGACGCAATGGCAGCGGCACAGGCAATGACTGAATGGAGCAGCGCCGCATGGCCAAACGCCAAGGGCAGCCAGTACGATTTGATGGGGTCGTACGCCGTCTGGCTCTCTATCAGATACAGGGCCTGGGACCCCGCCGTCGAATCTAGGAGGAAGGGTTTTCTATTAGGCTCAGGGTCCAACGCCAAAGCTACTGACCGTATTACTCACAAAAGTCAAGGAGGTTCATCATATACGCTTCCATGCGGATGGGAAACGCATCGAAGGGGTCTACGTCCCCTACACGGCCAAGCCACGGACGCTCCAGCAGCCGTGCTGTTCCCAACGCCTCTGTCGGCGTCCTCGTCGTCTTCGCCGTCTCCGTCTTCTGTTTCTTCGTGCGCTTTATATACTCTCTCATCACGTGTCGTTTGATCACATGGCGGCTGTCGGTGCCTGGGGCCAGACAATCGACGAACTGGAACGTTGCTTCATCTTCTTCACACGCCTGGAGCAGCGGTCTGGTTCGGGCTATGCTGTCAGCATGGATACGAACTCTACATCCGCATATCCCCACTCATCATGAATTGATTACTTACCCTTCAAAGGCCTTCCCCTCTTCCTGCGAGGCTCTTGGGTCCGAATGGGCCCATTCGACCAGGACACAACACGAGGCGGCGAGGCGGCAGCCAACGAGAAGATCACCTCGGCGGGTCCGTCTCTATTATGCATCTCATCCAGAGCACGAAAAGAAATCAGCGAAGAGGACAGAAGGTGAGAAGAAGGGCGTGGAGTTTTGTCGTCTCAAGAGACGCTGACGATATCCGCCTCGGACTTAACGGAGGCGCGAGACTGGCGCTAACCCGATTAGGACATTGGCAGGTACGAAATTCGGCCCAAAAGGGAAAGGATCGGGGGACTTGATATCGACGACGTCGATTCTCTCTTGCAATTCCAGGCCGAGTAGGCAGAGAACAAGATGAGAGAGAAGGTATAAATACGGCCGTCAGCTCTGGGAAGAACAGACTCGAACAACACACTACTCTACCACCCTACGACTACTACTCTACGAGTACTGCCAGAATGTCTTTGCCTTATACCTGGGACAATACCGCCGAGAAGGTCGCGCAGGACCTTGCGACGCATATCGCCGACCGAATTGTGTTGGTGACAGGCGTCAGTCCAGGCGGCCTGGGAGCTGCGTTTGCCAGCGCCATCGCGCACCAGAAACCGCGTCTGATCATCCTAGCCGCCCGCAGCGTCTCCAAGGCCGAGGAAACAGCCAAGGCAATCGCCGAGCAGGCCCCAGACGTACAGACCCGACTTCTGGAGCTGGATCTGTCTTCGCAGGCCCAGATCCGTCAGGCGGCCGCCGAGGTGAACGCGTACGCCGAGAACATCGACGTGCTGGTCAACAATGCCGGCGTGATGGCCATCCCCTACACGCCCACCACGGACGGGCTGGAATCTCAATTCGGGATCAACTATCTCGGGCCCTTTCTCTTCACTAACCTCATCATGCCCAAGTTACGCGCGGGGGCCGGCAAGGCCCGCGTCGTCAACATCAGCAGCGACGGATATCGCGCCAGCGCTATCCGCTTTGCCGATCCAAACTTCGATGTAAGACCATCTCATTTACTCGAAACCTTCTACTTATGAATTTCTTGCTAATACTTCCAGAACGGCAAAGCGTATGATAAATGGGAGGCATACGGCCAGTCCAAAACGGCCACCATGCTCTTCGCCATTGCTCTGGCCAAGAGGCTCGGGGATGAATTGGTGGCAGTCAGCATTCATCCGGGGGTCATCTTCACCAATCTCGCCAACCATTTCGTAACGGATATCGTGGAGGAGCTGAGTGAGAAACTCTTTCTCTATGTTGGGGTTCATATGAATATATTGGTCTGACATGCCTAGCACAACTGGCCCACCGGCAGGGGAACGGACCCTTCGCAGACGGTGGGCGATTCAAGAACCTCCCTCAGGGCGTGTCGACGCATGTCGTTGCCGCTTTCGATCCGCGGATTGAAGGTATGTTTTCCCTTCTTTTCTTTCCTGTTGAAAGAAAGACTTTAGTTATGATTACTGATGTTTAGAACACAATGGCGCCTATCTCTCTGATTGCCAGGTCCTTCCCCCTGACCAGATCCGATGCTGGGGCCGGGATCCCGTCGAGGCTGAGAAGCTTTGGGAGCTGAGCGAGGAGATGGTTGGGCAGAAGTTCGAGTACTAATAGTACTAACTAGTCTTGACAAGGTCATTTACCCTACATCTAGGGGTAGCATTTTATCATCAATGATTATAAGTGAATCAGATAATGAAATATCTATCGAAATAGTCTGGTTATAAAATACAGTATTGCGGGCCTCTGAGCGGTAAAATCCATGTTCTATCCCGTCCAAGTATATAAGAACCCAAAAAGAAAGGAAAAAAGGGTGAAGAGGAAGAGGAAGAAGAAGAAGAAGAAAGAGAAGAAGAAAAGAAGAAAGTTGTAAATTGTACAAAGAAAGCCCAAATCATTTTTGCTCTGTCGAGCTTAACCGTTGCCCGTCGGCATGGCTCGATAGATAACTTCCCACGGTGAAATATTGCTGCAATCCCCGGGCGAAAGAAGAAAAAAAATAAGACGTTTTTGTTGGGCAATCCCACGTTACATGTCGGCGGGCACTTTTTTAATGACTCGTTGCGGAGGTGTATCCCGTAGCAGGAAGGCTTACTGAAGAGCCGGAGAGAAAGTAAAACCCCGCGAGAACCAGGACAAGAATGACGACAAGGCTTCTCGGGCGGCTGGCGCCATATGTCGGGCGGAGTTGGCTGAGCAGGGCCATGGTCTTCTCGGCTCCGAGCTTGTAGTAGATCAAACCGCCCAGGGCAATGGCGTATCCGACGGCCTGCAGGGGAGTGACGGGATCCTGGAAGATGACCATGGAGGCAACGACCAGCAGAATATCCTTCAGAACTCCAGAGAGGGTGAGGACAAGAGCAGATGTCTTGCCGATCTATAATGGGTTAGAAATTTGGCAGAATAGAGTGGTGGGGGAGTAGGCAAAACGAACCAGGAAGACCACTGCAACGTTCAGGCCAAAGGCTACAGCGGCGTTGGCAACCAGAGTGGAGACTCCGAGGTTGTTGATGTCGGCCATGGTCATGCTCGGCATCTCAAAGAAAAGAGTGGCAATGCCATTCATGACGGCGCAAGCAGGAGCGAAATAGTAGAGCGAGACAAGGGGGTCCATCTTGAACTCGGCCGAGCTGAGAAGACGCTGAACCATGACCAGGCGAACCGATTCAAAGACGGTCGCACAAGCTTGGCCTAGAAGAGGATCAGAAAGTGGTATCGAAAGAGAGTCGGAGACACTGTATACATACAGATAAACCCAATCATGTTGAACTTGATCTCCCCAATGGAGGCGATGACCACACCCACCACAATGAAGGAGACGTTGCCCAGGGTCTGCAGACGCATAGGGGCCACGCCGAGGGCCCAGGTCGCCAGCAACGTTGCGACCGAGTTGGTAGCCTATGAGATTGGTGTCAGAGAACGGTCAAATCCTTGCAATTGGCTACTTAGGAAACTCACCTTGAGCATCTGGATGAAGGACACGCTCAGGTAGAGGTATGCCAGGTTACCGCAGATCAGACTCAAACTGAAGAAGACACCAATCGGGACAATAGCACGCCTGGATCACCACAGCTTCAGTCAGCGGGCAATTCTCAATCCTTCCTCTCCAAACCAAAGTATGCCTCACATGTAAACAGCAGGTGTCATCGGGACTTTATGGCGACTGTCCAGGTGGTGGGTGAATTTGGCCAGGATCTGGGTCATGACCGTCGCGAACACCAGATGCCATGTTGTCAGGAATAAGGCTGTAAGGGTGGTCAACGACTGGAAGATGGAAGGTCTGTAGGTCTGTCGAACTTACGAAAACCTATAATGATGAATTGTTAGCATGGAAAGTTCGTCGGAGAGCAGAAATCAATGGTGAGCGGTTAGGGGAGCCGTACTGAAGCCAGCGGTGTGAAGAATCCACTTGTTGAAGATGATAACACCCGAGCTGAGGGCAATCCAGGAGCTAGATCATTGACGAGAATCAATCAATACCTGCTGAATATCCACACCAGACCGTTGCAAGGTTCAACGACGCTCGACGTACGCAATGTAGACGGCCGGGTGCACCGACGCGGCCTGCTTCTGGTTCTGCGCGACGGCCGGGTTGACGGTGGGCAGCTCTTTTCTGTCCGCCATGGCTGTGTGGTCGAGGAGTATTCTTGACGGCGTAGTGGTCTGGATCTCTATCAAGAGGAAAGTTGTTATTTTTTTCAGTCACAGAATGATGATCCCCTGAAACGCCCCGTGGCCGACGATCTTTGGTGTGTTTCAGATGACGATGACGCGTCAGAGCCAAACCTTGGAGTGGTCAGTGCTGGTCACGTGATGTGTCACGTGATGTACTTGCCAGACGCAGTTGAAAAATTACACATCGGTAATCGCATACATTATCAATACGGAGTATTGTATTGTATATCTATTATGGTTATCCCATCTTCCAGTGACTATTGTGCTCTATTATTCAACAATCATGGTTGTAACTGTCTACTTCCTCCGATTCTATTCTTCTCTTTCTTCCCTCTTATTGCTTGTCTTGTCGGCAAAACTAACCTATACTAACCCACTAACGAGTAACTATTTAGTACTATAGTTCTACTCCGTATACGGAGTACTGGAGTCATTTTAAGCGAGATCAATCTTGAGCAATAACTAATAACATTCCTGACCAGTTAATATCCTCCAGCCAGCTATCTTTTCCGCAGTTATCATTCGAGATCGCGTCCAGCATCGCCACCATACCTTGTCCACAGTGTGATCTCGACCATCAACACCACCGACGACTGCCCGGCGGAGAAGCTTCTGTATATATACTTCATATGTAATATCCAATAATAGTCAAATATTCATGTCGGATCTGTATTACTAAAGATACTCTAGTACTAACTAGAGTAATTATTGAGAACTAGCTACTCCTCGTAATAACTATCCTCATATGTATACGACTCATCCTCCTCCGGATCAAACGTCTCATACGCCTCGGTTTCCTCCTCCCCGGCATCCAGATAGTCGTCACCAGAGTACTCCGTCTGTCGGGAAGAGAAGCCAGCAGATCCTCCTCCTTGCTGGGGAACGCGTTTTGCCGGAGCGCGAGCTCGACCCCCGTACATTGAATCAGCCGGCGATCGCGCCGATGCGGACAGTCCTCCCCTTGCCTTCTGTGGTGTGGTTGTTCTAGAGGGCGGGTTTCGACCTTCTCCCTGGCGACTGGAACCATTCTTCGGCAGTGGTTTATACGGCTCGGGCACTCTCTGGTTGTTCGCTCGGGGATCTGGTCGTGCCATCGTGCCCCCTCGGGCTGGTCCGCCTCTCCCTCGGGGTTGTCCTCCTCTTCCCCTGACCAACCCTTGTTGTCTCCGACGCGGCGGCGGCGGCTGTGGATTATACACTGGATCGTTTTCCAGTTCATCAGGGTCATAGTCATCGGCTCGGATGCTCATGTGAAACGCTTGCTCGCCTTCTGTCTCTCCCGTCGTTTCCCATAGGTACTTGTCGAACTTCCGGATGGTCTTCGCGATGAGCTCGAATTGGTGGTAGTCCAATACATGCTCTTGAGGCTGGGAAAGGGAAGCATCTCCTTTGGCTTGAGGTGTGTCCGAGGACTCGTCGTTGTCGTTGTCATTGTCCTCGTCGTTCTCCACCTCCTCATCTTCTTCGGCCTGTTCGTCCCAGGTGTCCTGTGAACCTGGCTGCATGTCGAAATGTGCAAAGGAGTATGCAATCTGAAAAGCGTTGCGGATCTGTCGACCGTTCCATCGGTGGTCGGGATAGTTGTTGAAGTACCATTTGGCATAATGCAGAATGCTTGGCTCGTCGATCTTCAAGGTTGACCGGGGAGGCTGTTTGGGATCCTCGGCGTGTTTTTTCTGTGCCAATTCCTCCGCCTTGCGCAGCCGGCCAATGTTGTTCCTGAAAATAGCCAGCGTCTGGTCCTCGCTGAGATACTTGTAATGCAGGCTTAGATGAATTCGCGACTTGAAGGCCTCGTCGAGGAGACCGACCCGATTCGTGGTGAGGAAGAGAACGCCGCTGTAATATTCTAGGACCCGGAGGAACACTGTACAAAAAGTAAGTAGCCAGACAGTGGGAATAAGAAGAAAAGGTCTCAACCATACCTGATACCAGAGCATTGCGAGTAAGATCGTCCAGGTCTCGTCGGGTCAAGAAAATGTCGGCCTCATCCAACAACAACACACAATCCCAGAGATGGGCTAGGCGGAAGATCTCTTTCAAGTTCGACTCTACGCCGTCGGCCTGGAATCCCAGATCGCCGCAGGTGATGGCAAACAGGGGCTTGTTGTTGGCTTGGGCAACAGCCTCGGCCGTGGCGGTTTTACCCACGCCAGGCACCCCGTGCAAGAGAATCACCAGCCCGGAGCCTTTGCCCCTGATCAGGTCCAAATTCAGCTTTTGCTTCTGGAAGTGCGACTTCACCAAAGCGCGGACCATGCGCTTGTGGTCCTGGTCAATCTTGAGGTCTCGGAAGACGTTTTCGGCCTTGGACATTAACCGGAACCCCTTCACGTCCAACCGGACGAACCTCCGGTCGTGAAAGGTATAACCGACGAGACGGCGTGGCAGGAGAACTAGGTCTTCGGCGTCGATCTGGGTGGCCTTCCCTCCCCTGACGGCCTTGAGAAAGTTGTTCAACTGGAAGTCTCGTTGGCTGAATACCGCAGCAAATGATTCATCCACCTGCAGGGTTTCCACAATCTCGCCCAGGACCCGGTATTGCTGAACGTCCCAGTGCTGGATCATGCTCGGATCCTCCTTTTCATCCCAGTTCGATTCCGCCCATCCAGTGAGGGTGTTCCCGGACTTGGTGGCCAGTCCGTCATCAAACTTATGGGCTTCGACAAAGTCGATCATCACCGGCCCGTCGACATGCTCCGAAGTCCCTCTATCCGTTGAACTGGTCGTTGGCTCGTGGGCCAGAGTCCAGCCTTCGTAGTAGAGATACCTCTCTTTCAGGACCCATTGGAACGACTCTCCAAGCTGGCGCTGGGATTCCAACAAGTCGTCCTTTTCTTTATAAAAGCGGAGCGGGTACGCTTGCAGGGTCGTAATATCCCTCTGGCCTTCATAGGCCTTGATGCTGAATCTCTTCGGATACGGCTCGTACGAGACGCCATTGTAGTCGATGAAATAGCACCAGAGATCTAGCTCCTGGCCGGAATTCATGGGGATATCACAGTGGGGACTCGTCGAATAGGGATCGCGACAGATTGTATGCAGCCGCCACAGTTTCTGTGACATATTCGCTGGCTCGGGCCAGATCTGTCCGGCCGATACCTCCGATGCAGACGGGAGGTAGATGAGCTCGCCGGGCTGAAACGACATCCACAAGTCCACAAAGGAGACCCGACGGTGGGTGTTTCCCGCCGCACGCTTCCACAAAGGCTCGATCTCCTTTTCCATGAACTCAACATACTTTCGCACATGGTGGAGTGCAGTGACCGAATCGGCGATAGGTCCCAGCACCGATTCGGCGGGACTCTGAGGTCTGAAAGAGCCTCTCTCAGGGTCAGAATCATCGCCCTCAGTCCTCTTCTTGCGTTTCGACACAGCCGGAGAGCCGGCAATGCCCGCATCAGAATCACCTGTCTGACTCGCCTTGGACCAGTGTGCTTCCAGAATGGTCAGACATTCCTTCATCTGTGGTAGGTAGTAGTGCAAGGCGACAAAAGGTCGGTAGAAGAGTCGAGGCCCCGAGTTGCTCCATTTGTCTCCATGGCCAGTCAATCGGGAAAGAATGAGAAGGAGTTGAGGCGATTGGATTCTCACACGCTGAACCCAGCTGTCCTCCTCTTCTCGGGATCGCGAAGCGCCCGGTGGCATCATCATCATCATCCGCATCCCCATGGACTGCATCCGGCGTTGACTGCTTTCTCGCCAGATATCTTGCGCGAGGCCTGGAGCGCCCAGGAGCACCTCGATAATCGCGAGTCCTTCTTCTGGCGAATACCGATTTTTGAAGTGATTGTAGTCCAAAAAGTCCACGACCGCCTTCCAAGGCAGGCTATGCCGACTCTCCTCCCATTCTTTCATCCTCTTCTTTCGAACTTCCTCCGGCTCCGGTGCCTCCCAATCGTCGTCCCAGTCCTTGATCATCCTCCTTCTCACGTCCCCCGTGTCGGGTGGGAAGGAAGGTGCCATCAGCCTGACATGCAAGTCCCCTTGCTCGGAACCATCACCCAAAACCACGCTGGCGTGATCGTCAAACGTTTCCATCTTTGATCCTGGTAGATAAGGATTCTTTTCTTAAAGGAAACTTGATTTCTTGACAATAGCCGTATCACGCATTCATCATAGATATGCTGAGAAGCGGTTTAGTGACAATAAGGAGCGACAACTTTCCTCGGCGGAAAGGCCTCGTTTATCAGTCAAACGAGGGGCAACCACACTCAATCGGCGCCTCTGGAAATGCTTCTCCAGTCCACATTAATAGGCAGCTTCAGCAAGCTACTGCTGCTGTGCTTGACGCCGCCCCCACTCAATGGCTCTTGCTGGTCGAATTGGCTCATGCTCCGGAGTGGAGACGACTGACAGTTCAGCTGAAACCTGCAGGTCAGCCTAATTGATAACTCGTCCACGTCACGCAAACCACATACTATGTACCATATGGAGTACGAAGTATGACAGCCGCCTGAGTAGAGGACCCCTGCCGATATCTCTCAGCCGCAATGCCCCCGCAGCTCGCTTCTTTTTCCCCTCTTTTGGACTGAATAGAATGGCTTCATGTTGGAGACCTCCCTGAATAGACCAGCTTCTGGCTATGGCTTTGACGACGAGGAATCCGACGAGGGATCCGATTCAGAAAGATTACACCAGCTCGGCGGTGGCTTTCGTCAGCAGTGATGGACCTGACATCCATCTTGGACTGGGGGGTGCGTCGAAGTACAATTTCAAACATGATCAGTTTGTGGTCGCAAACTTTCACAGGTGAGTCCACGGAGTACCTTATTGTCCTCGTTCATGGGCGAGACTAACGGAGATAATCATAAGATCCCTTGAGGGCCTTCTGAGGGATTACTTGCCCATGAACCTAGGATTGGAGTTCCCGGAGAATGCAAAGCAACTAGAACAGCTATCTGCAAAGCTGGCAGGTGCCGAAGAGGGATACAAAGACCGAGGCCGGGGTTTCTGGCATTCGATCTGGTACAAGATTGGGGAAGCGGACGATGTGGTCGACACCTGGGTTTCTCTCATTCCTAACGAATATGGGCTTGCCGTTGTGAAGACTGGGCTTGCAGTGGTGTTCAAGGTTTGTCCAGAGCTTTCTTGTATTCTCCTGTATTATTCCACTAAGGTGCATACCAGCTTGCTGAAAGATCTGCCGAGCGACGGCGGAGCATCATGAACACGTTTGTCGCGATCCGAGATGCTCTTGCGCGAGCTAATCCAGAAAATCGAAGTTTTCGCACCCACAAGGATGTCAGCGCGTGTGCGGACCGTCTCACCCAGACCATCATCCAATCCATTGAGGATATGATCAAGTTGACCTCGTCGAAACAGAAGAGCTTGCGGCGGTTGAGAATTCCCAAGCTGGGACAACACAAAACAACGACACCTGCCCCGGATCCTGTCCCGGATCAAGAAGCGATCTTGAAAAAAATAAATCAGGCTACCAAGGAGTTTGAGGACGCCATCAATCTGGCACGAGACAATATGATTGAGGCCACTGGGTTCACAACGCAGGGCATCGCCTTGCAACTTCCAGAAATTCGTGCCGATTTACGCACGGCGGGCAACCAGCTGCGGGTGATGGATCGCAAACGGGATAGGCGAGATGAAGACCAGCAGAAGAGCCTCCAAAAGCTGAACACCATGATGCAACAGGTTCTAGCGAGTACAGAGAAAATTGCCAAGCGGGAGCAGGATTTCCAGATGGACCAGGTGGTGGCTCGAAGTGAGGTGGTCCATTTCCTGCGTGAGCATCTGAGTAAGTCCGGACAAAAGTCAAAAGCATGGCAAAACTGCACATCTGTTGACTAGCTGGAATAGAAAAGGAAGACGAAATCATACGGCTTTGTCGGCAACAACAGAGATACGCGGTCAACCTCGGTGTCATCGTCAGAGAGGACCAACTGCTCGAGATCCTCACTCTCGCCGCCGGAGAATCTGAGCTGGCCCGCCTGCTACGCCAACCAAACGATGACTTGCAGCTGGCGCTGAAGTACAAGGGCAAACTCAGTCAAGCGAGTCAGCGGCAGGTTCAGGCAGCTGTCGTGACGGACGATAGGGTTCTGCAATGGCTCCATGGGCCTGACCCGGATCTCATCATGATCGATGCTGCCAACGTCTCCCTCCATGCGGGAATGTCGAAGATATCCGTCATCACAGTGTTTAGTGCCGCCTTCATCACCAGCCTGATTAATGCGCGCCCGGACGACGTGGTGGTCGCTCACTACTTCTGCGGCCAGCATGTTCGGGCGAAGGATCCCTGGCACGGCCCCAACGGGGTGGTTCGCTTCCTCACAATGCAGCTCCTCATGAGCCTCATGAATATCAAGCGGCCCAATCTGAGCTTCATCAAGACCTGGGACCATTTTCGAAAACTTGAGGACCATCACCTAGGGGCGACCTGCCATCTACTGCACTCCATCGTGGCACAGTTTCCCCCACACATGACTGTCAGCCTGGTCATTGATTCCATCTCGCGCGCCGATACCTTTGGAAACTCCAACGATCTTGAGGTCGTGATGGAACGATTTCATCGTCTTGTCACCGACGTCTCACTCCGGCCCACTGTCAAGGTCTTTCTGACCAATACGATGCAATGTACGCCGAATATGTTACAGTCAGACGTCTTTCAAGACGATCCGACTCGTCTGGTTAGTCTGTACCCGAACAAGAAGTCGGTTTCTCAACCGGCCTTGTCGGAACAAGTGATGGGTAATACGCTGTTCGGTTGATTAGTCTGAACTGAAAAGACTTGCCATTGGTTGCTTAGTAGCGTAGAGCTCATGACTGCATGACGAGTATATCGATTCCAAGCACACGGTATAAGAGTACCATTCCGAGAGCGTAAGTCGATATGCACTGAGTGACTATATTTTTTATATCTCCAGAATAGGGTATTGGGAGAAAGTTCTGGGCCTAGAAGATGAGTTAGCAGATGCGGTAAGATTGAATAATAGATATATATCTAGGAGATAATAGGCAGTACTGATGTATTTATTTCTATAACAGGTTGTTGTTCATGGGCCGTTTTTAGTTTCTTTGGCACTAGGAGAAGCTATGCAGAAACCTTGGCTCGCTACCAGGTCGCCATCTTGCTTGTACAAATCCCAGTGTGTTTGAATATTCTCTGCTAGCCGAGATGTTGGATCGAGCTTGGTTTTCGAAGCTATTGCTGTGTCTCGACAAGGTCAGTTCAAAATCCCAGTAAGGAAGCGCATACGGGTTCCAACTCGCCTTCTGAAACATTCCATACCAATCGAGAGCCTCTGTTCTCATCCTATCCATAACCAGTTCTCCAACCTTCTCGTGCTTCTTTTTCCATAATAAGAGGCCTCGTACGGCTGGCAAGCATCTGCTGCTTTGACGACGGATTCTATTCCGACAGATAGATCCTTGGGGAAACTCGTATTTCTCTCCGAGATTGCCACATGCACCACACGGAACACGTCTATCACACTTTACCTTCCTGTCGTGGCAATGCAGATATGATCTCCTCGACGCAGAGGTTGTGGCTCTTCCTTTCGCAAGACGTGGAAGGTGCAAAACAATCAAGTTCACGTCGAGCACGTGTCCCGGTTGAGCAAACAGAACAAACAGACGCTCCTTCCTTCTTCAGAAAATCCTCAAACAATTTCTCAACTCACCGACTTCATCATTCATCCACTTCATCCCGACTGTTCTTCCATTATAATCATTGACACTCCCCTAATCTTGCTCTCGGAGCTCTCGGGCCTATTTATAGGTAGACGAGATTCAAGTGTCCATCCTCCTTCTTGAGGGCAGGACAGAAAATGGAAGGCGTTCAATGGTAGGTCCTTCTAGAGGAGGGGAAACCTGACAGATCTCAAGGTACGTGAAGCTTTTGTTTTCTTTGGAGTCTATATCAGAGCCAGAAGAATCTACTCACTCATCCTTTGCTGCTCGAGATATAGTGGATCGGTGGCGCTTTTACACGTTGTCGATCCCAACAAGGGGCGTCCGAGAATGCTTTATATACAACATGAAGCAAGTGACAGTCCAGTATCTTGATCTCCTTAGGTTTGGGTCTACATACTGCTATAAATACTGCTATATAAGGACTAAAGGTATCCCTCTTTCTTTACCCAAAAGAGTCGCGCCAATATCCATTGGTACCGCAAGAACCGTGCTCGGATCTCGTCTCCGACAGTTTCTGGGGGAAAGAACAAGGGCAGTACTCCTACAAAAGCTCACACGGAGAGCTTATGGCGATTGATGGTTGAAAGAGATGATGTCATGGTGCTTCGATGGGCGGACGAGTCGGTTACCGCCATCTGGTGTCATCATCTCTTTTGGGTCTCTCCCTTTTGACCCTTCTGTTCATTTTTTTATTTCTGCGCTCAGTGATATTGCATGATATAATGGCTCTGCGCATTTTCCGTACAATATCCCACTCGTTCCAGTCCGGATCCCCTCGAATTTCTCGTCTTGAGGCAGATAGCATCACTCTATGTCATCACCGGCCATATTCCCAAGAAATCAAAAGCAAGCCCTCGTCAAGACTGCCATGGTGGGTTCCCTAACTACCCTTGACATTCCGCTTGAGCTAAAAATTCGTAAGGCTCGCTGTTTCTGCCGGCGCGGGTGTTACGGCTGCGTACTTGATTTGGCCGAGAGGATCCGAAAAGGAATTCCATATTAAAGAAGACCAGCGTCTTGCACGGGTGAAAGACCCTAGCCGGCCACGCGAGCAAGTGACCGTTACCAGGCCGTCCGAACGTGACCCGGTAGGGCTCTCAAGTCGTTGTCAGCTCATTTAAGATACTAATAGTGACTTGCTTTGCAGCCCTCATCCATGAAGGCAGCTAGTTCTGATCTAGGAGACATGTCGTGGAAGCAGGAGAATCTCGACAATGCGAACACGGCCAGCCCTCGTCTAACCGAGCCAGGAAAGAGTAACAAGTCGGAGGGTGATGTGGAGACCGCGAAACTGAAAGGAACAGTTGATGAGCGCCGCAGAGCGAGATAGTTCAACAAAAATTGAAGGCATGATAATTCACAACTGGATAAGCCCATAAACAGGCTCGATTTACTTCCCCTCATTTCCAGGAGTAGAGAGAGGTAAGTGGTCAAGAGTAAATTTATCAACTGATTTCCAGCGTTTGTCAAAGTCTATGCTTGCTCTACGTTACATCTTATCTGAAGAAACCTAGGCGATTATAAGGAGGAGACGTCAATAATGATACCAGAAACATACAATGCGCATGCCGATCAAAGTATACGGTGACATTCTGGGATCATGCCATTTTTGGTAGCAGTGATAGAGGGTCTATATCGGCGGACACGCACTGCCGATCTGCATCCGCAGAATACCACCGTTGGTACATCCCCGCATTTCGATGCAACGGTCAAATTGTCCTTTCAGGCGCTTTATTAATCTACCCGATAGGGAGAGAGAGAGAGGGAGAGAGAGAGAAATCAGCCGAAGTCGGATGGAGGGGGATATTTAAAACGCGTTGGAAAAATGTAGAAAGCAGAGAAAACAGTGATCACAGCGTCCTCACAATGAAGTTGTTCGGCGCTCTTGCCCTGGCTGGACTGCTGAGCTATGGCGCGGAGGCTGCCTCGTCGCGCAGGTTCGGCTATACCAACACCACATTCTATCTTGAAGGAAAGCCGTTTCAGATCGTCGGTGGACAGATGGATCCCCAGCGTGTTCCATACCAGTACTGGCGTGAGCGTCTCAACAAGGCACGGTCGATGGGGTTGAACACGATCTTCTCGTACGTGTACTGGAACCTGCTGGAGCCAGAGCCAGGCCACTGGGCGACGGACGAACCGAATAACAACATCGCAGAGTATTTTCGTATCGCGCAGGAGGAAGGACTGAACATCGTGCTACGGCCCGGCCCGTACATCTGCGGCGAGCGCGAATGGGGGGGCTTCCCCTGGTGGTTGAGCGAGATCCCGGGACTCGAAGTGCGGACGAACAACACGTTGTTTCTGTACTATGCCGGCCTGTATCTCGACCGGTTAGCAGAGGAAATCCGGCCGCTTCAGGCGACCAAGGGAGGCCCCATCTTGATGATCCAGGTCGAGAATGAGTACGGATCGTATGGGTCGAACCACAACTACACGGCCCGGCTGCGCGATATGCTACGCGAAAACTTCGATTCAGTGCTGTACACCAACGACGGGGGCGTGAATTGGACTCTGGCCGGCGGTAGTGTGCCCGGGGTGCTTGCAGAAACCGACGGGACTCCCGAGTCCGGGTTTGAAGCACGCGACGAGTACATCACCAACCCGACCGAGCTGGGACCCCTACTTGACGGGGAATACTACACTCTGGCACCCGATCAGTGGGGGTCGAACGCAACACACAACGACCCAGACGATGACCCGGCCGACTTGAACGGGTTCGTCAATGACCTGGAGTTTGTGCTGAACGGCAGCAACTCGATCAGCTTCTACATGTTCCACGGGGGCACCAACTACGGGTTCGGAAACGGGGGCATCTGGCGTGACGCCAACTACCTGGCAGCCTTCACGACGAGTTACGACTACGGGGCCCCGCTGGACGAGAGCGGACGAACAACGGAGCTGTACTACATCCTGCGCGAGACGATCGAGAAGTACTTCCCGAACGGCAGCATCCCCGCCGTCGTTCCAGACGTGCCTCGGTCGTCGATCGATGAGTTTGCGCTCGAGCCCGTGGCCTCGGTGTTCGACACACTACTGCCGGAACCCGTGCAGAGCGAGCACCCGGTGAGCATGGAGTCCCTAGGCCAGGCGTACGGGTATGTGCTGTATGAGACGACGGCGCAGCAAGCATACACGGGGATTCTTCAGGTCGGGGACCGGCCGCGCGACCGGGTGATCGTGTACGTGAACGGAGTGAAGCAAGGGGTGGTGGACGCCATCTACGAGACGGTGGGCGAGGTCAAGGTGACACTGCAAGCGGGCGACAAGCTGCAGCTGTTGGTCGAGAACCTGGGACGGGTGGACTACTGGTCGCTCGGGTCTGGGACGTTCAACGCGCTGCTGGAGCCGCACAAGGGGATCGTGGGCAATGTGACGGTGGGCGGGGAGATTGTGACGAAGTGGAACGTGTACTCACTGCCTTTTGACCAAGTTCCGATTGTGAATTCGGGCAGCAGCAGCAGCAACAACAACAACACCACCACCATTGAAACTCTCCCACAGACACCCGTGGTGTACTCTGGGCGGTTCCAGCTGGCGGACCGCGACCGCAGCTCCAAGACCGACCTGGAGCTGGACACATTCCTGGCGATTCCACGTGGGACGAAGGGGGTGGTGTGGGTGAACGGATTCAACCTCGGACGATACTGGATCATCGGCCCCCAGCAGTCGCTGTACCTGCCTGGCGTGCATCTCCGGCGAGAGGGATGGAACGAGGTGGTGGTGCTGGAGCTGGAGCCCACGGAGCAGGTTATGGAGGCGGAAGGACAATCGGAGCGCGTGTGGGCGAACCATGCTGATCCCGATGCGCCAGGTTTGCCGTCACTAGGCAGTTAGCTGCGTGTCCGATGGCGGTTATCTCAGACGGTGTGCGGTCGCTCGCGCGAGGGAGACAGCCAGGAAGGTGAATGACCGTTTCAGGTCTGTCGAGCAGACGATGGTATATGTACCTCGTGCTGGGGGGTGTCGTCCAATTGGTGGGTGGACACTGGACACCGGTACCTAGATAGCCCATCAGATAGGAACTTAATATTGTCTTCACATGTGATAGTCTTGCCTAGGTACTAGGTACTTAGTAGGTACTACCTAGGTAACTATAACTAGTTACTATAGACTAGACGTCAAGTACTGGAGTATGTATTAAGCTGCAGGTGCCTGAAAACGATCATCCAGTCAGTCACAAGAACCAGTCAGACGGCCGTCAATGACCCCGTGTTGTGCCGCGTGTCTGCAGAGACTAAAAGCGTTGGATCTGGAGGTGGAATTCACGGTGGATTTACAGTGGATTTACAGTGGATGATATCTGGAACTAAGCTTATTTAGAAGACTATTCCGTGTCAATAAGACTATTGAGACTATTCAGACTATATTATCACTCTATTACTCTATTATATTATATTATTATTATCAATTTGGCATAGCGTCGATGCGCCCCTTAGGCCCACATTCTGCAGACTGAGTATTATTAATATAAAGAAATTGTTATAAATTATCATAGTATATATTATATTATATTATATTTATATTATATTATAGTATAGTATAGTATATTATAGTATATTATATATTATACGACATATACTATAGTATAGCATACTATAGTATTCTATACATAGTTAGTATACAGTAGTTACTCCGTACTATGTCCTCGGTGATCCCTACCAGGACAGGAAACATTCCCTGGCATCCACTGAGCCACTCGCAACTCTCTTCATCTTCCCCTCTTGCTCAACCTTAGCGGCAAGCCAAGTCCTCCACTCAGGAACAGGACAGACCGCGATTATCCTGGAGATGACCTTGCATGTAGAGTGTAGGAGTAGTAATATACTGTAGTTAGTAGTATGTAGTATCTATGTACTAAACACATACTACTCCGTATAGTTTAGGTACCTACGGTAGTAACTACGGAGTAACTAACTAGTTAGTTACAAGATCTGTATGGCCAAGTAGCCGCCGTAAACACCCTATCCAATGTATCCATCGAGATCCACGTGTCGCCCTCCTCGACCATGGATGTGCTCCATCTGATTCCTCGGGATCACTCACCCCAATCACTCCATCCTCACCCATTCCCCCTGACTGACGCGGCGGGGAGATTGCTTCGGCGCGAGGGTCCTCTGTAGAAACGGAGTCTTTCCGTCGCGAACGAGTATAAATAAGCTGTCGGGGGGTCCTCCTATCATGCCCTTCCTCATCAGAGCATCTCAGTATCTCCTTGATCCAGAAATCATCGCCATGGTCTCTCTGTCGTTGCTTGCGCTGGCCTCGGTGGCCGCTGCCACCCCGTTGAAGATGAAGAGAAGTACGTACTGCCTTGCCTGGTGCCTGGTGCCTGGTGCCTTAGCCGGGTGCCTTAATGCCTGTGTGCCTGTGTGCCTTGGTGCCTTAGTCTGGTGCCTTAGTCTGGTGCCTGAGTGCCTTATCCTAACAATATGATTAGCCATCACCTCTTCGCTTCTCAGTGACCTCGACCTGTTCGCCCAGTACAGCGCCGCCGCGTACTGCACCGGCAACATCGACTCGGCCACCACCGGCGACCAGATCACCTGCTCCGCCGACAACTGCCCTCTCGTTGAGGATGCCTCGGCCGTCACCCTCGACGAGTTCGACCTGACCGCCTCCTACGGCGACGTCGCCGGCTTCATCGCCGCCGACAGCACCAACGAGGTGCTGGTCGTCTCCTTCCGCGGCACCGACGATCTGGAGAACTGGATCGCCGATCTCGACGTCGGTCAGACCGCCGTCGACTCCCTCTGCACCAAGTGCTCCGTCCACTCGGGCTTCTGGAGCGCCTGGGAGACCGTCGCCGACACCATCATCGCCAAGGTCGAGGCTGCCATCACCACCTACCCGGATTACTCGGTTGTCTTCACTGGCCACAGCTACGGTGCTGCCCTGGCTGCCATCGGTGCTACCGTCATGCGTAACGCCGGCTACGAAATCACCCTGGTACCCTCTCCCTCATAACACCTTGCTTGGAAATCATGCTTACTGATCATAGTACAACTACGGCCAACCTCGTATCGGTAACATGCCTCTCGCCGACTACATCACCGACCAGTCCATGGGCAGCAACTACCGTGTCACCCACACCGACGACATTGTCCCCAAGCTTCCCCCCAAGCTCCTGGGCTTCCACCACTACAGCCCCGAGTACTGGATCACCAGCGGCAACGACGTCACCGTCACCACCTCCGACGTCACCGAGGTTACCGGCGTGGACTCGACTGATGGCAATGCCGGTACTTCTGGCGACAGCATCACCGCTCACCGCTGGTACTTTATCTACATCAGCGAGTGTGATTAAACGACACGCATCGATTATCGCTTCGAGTATGGCATCCTATGCCATACCATGCGTCTGGATGAGCTGATGATACTCTTGGATGAGGATGATACTCTTGGATGAGGATGATACTCTTGGATGAGGATAATACTCTAATTGGATGAGGATGAAGAAGGATAACTGTATCTTGTACATAGTTGATACAAAGTACATATTATACTGGGTATATATGATAAGCTATCTATTACAGTACTAAGTAGACAGTACTACAATACAGGGTACTCTGTACTATGTACGTCTCACCATCAACAAAACCCCTGTCACGGCCCCCCTGACTCTCTCCTGGCCCGGTTGCACCCCTGCCTCATGCAGCAGCGTCTCAATCGCGCGTCGATACCGACGCACGATATCCCGCTCCGAGCCGACGGCGTCCCGGTGCGCCTCTCTCCACCGTGTGATCGGACTCGCCGTGCCGAGGACCTTCTCAAACGTGTCGAGGTCCACCTCCATCTGACCGGCGTAGAACTCGTCGCCGAACCCCCACTCCCTGCGCACGAAGCTGGCTCTCTCAAACCCCTGCACGCCCGGCTCCACCGTCCACGGCAGCGGGAGATCCACGTATCCCGCGCGTACGAGGCGGTTCCCTTCTTCGAAGAAATCATCCAGTCTCTCTTCCTCCCGGATCCGTTCCAGTGCGGCCTGGATGGCTCCCGCGTTGGGCGTCGAGGAGTGTACGCTCGACTCCCCGGAACACCAGAGCGCCACGCTGCCTCCAGGTCGGAGCACCTGTGCCGCCCGCCGCCAAAAGGAAGACATCTCGAACCAGTGGGCGGCCGTAGCTGCAACAATCACGTCCACGCAACAGTCCCCCTCGACGAGCTTGTCGGACGTCGACACCTCGAATCGGATCTTCTCCCCCGTCGCTGTTGTTCCCCCGAGAGTCCGTGCCGTCTCGACCATCCCCGCGGAAGCGTCCAGACCGATGGCATGCTCGAAATGTCCTCCTAGTCTGCGCGTCGCGGTGCCGGGTCCGCAGCCAATGTCCAGCAGGGTGTCCAGCTCGCCGCCCCCGGACGTGTGGTAGCTCAGCACGGCGTCGTACACGCTGCGGTGGTAGTCGCGGCGGGCTTCAGCATACACCTTGCCTTGCGAGGGAGTGTATGCCAGGAACGTCTTTTCAGATGCCATTGCAGTGGTCGTGGATGGGATCGTTGATGTTGACATCAGCCTTGAGCGGGGTAGTCTACGTATTGTACCTCGTGCTTATGTAAGCATATATTCTCTCTCTCTCTCTCTCTCTCTCTCTCTCTCTCTCGACTTCACACACACACACACTCTCTCTCTCTCTCTCTCTCCCTCTCTCTTCACTCTCATCAAAAAACAGTCCCCCACACCCGTCGAGCCACCTCCTGCACGAGCGCCATCTTCTCCCACATCCGCTGCTCCGTCATGCCCTCGCCGCCGCCAACGCTCATGCTCGAGAAGCCACACTGCGGACTGACAGAGAGCGTGTCCTGCAGCACCTGCTCGCGCGGTCTGCCCTGGCCCCCGGCAATCACGTCTGCAGCGTCGTACACCTTGCCGACCAGCTCGTCGACCTCCTCCAGCTCCGTGGTCTTGGTCGAGACCACGCCCAACACCACCCTTTTCCCGACCGGCAGATGGCGCAGGGGGGTGAAGTCTCCCGCCCGGTCCGAGTCATACTCGAGATAGAACGTGTCGTACTGCAGGCCTGTGAACAGCCGTTGTGCGATCGGCTCGTACGATCCGCTGAGGATATGCGTCGATCCGGCCATATTCCCCCTGCACAGATGGATCCCCACGTGCAGATCCGCCGGGCGATCGCGCAGACACTCGTTCTGCGCCCAGATGTACAGGTCCAGCAGCTTGTCGGCGTCCACCCCGTCCTCTTCACACCCGTCTCGAAACGTCTGCGTCGGGAAGGAGGTGAGCGCCGGGTCGTCGACCTGGATGTTGCGCAGCCCGGCGTCATACAGCGTTTGAAACTCCGCCCGATACGCTGCCCCCAGATCTCGAAAGTACGCTTCGTCGCTCGCGTACGCCGTCCCCGGTTTGTACGCCGTCCCCGGTTTGTACGCCGTCCCCGGTTTGAGATGGATGTGGTGCCACGTCGCAGGCGGGACCGTCAGCTTGCACTCCCTCCACAGCTCCTCCGACGGCAGCAGAGACCGCAGACCCAGCCATTCAGCCAGATACGCCCGGCCGTCATGTCGGATGGGAGACACCGCAACCACCCCAGGCCGCACTTGGACCCCCTTCTCCATCGCCTTCGTCACGGTGGGCAGTCTCGACCGGAACCCGGAGGGGAGCGGGATGTCCGGCACAACCACGCACCCGTCTAGCTTCTCAAAGAAACCCGCGTAGAAGATATACCGCTCGTACTCGCCCGAGGTGATGGGGCGGATGTCCCGCGCCAGCTGTTTCTGGACCAGTTCGGCCACGCATTTCCGCGTTATCGCTTCCACTTCGGCCGAGGGGGGATCGTACGCGGAGGTATGCGAGGCTGCCTGTCGCGCCGCCAACAGGCTGGGAGGCCGCAGGAAAGACCCGATATGGTCTGCTCGGGGCATGAGGAATGAGAACTGAGATACTAGACTAAGATACAGAGTGAGATGCAGAGTGAGATACAGAGTGAGATACAGAGAGAATACGAGAATACTCTGCTAGCACTGGTTATAGGTACTAATCCTGGGTTACCCCGCACGATTTGACACTTGCTATTCATTTGTAATACTTGTTCGGATAATGACTAATTGTTCAGGATCGCATCCAGCACCTCCACGTCCGCCAGGAGCTGCGCGTCGCTCATCCGCGATCCGACAAACTGCAGCGCAACGGGGGCTCCAGCCATGAGCTCGGGTTCATCTAGAAAATTAGTACAAAGAACAAGAGAATGCAAATGAATGGAATGCATGACTTACACTGGGCTTGGATGCGCTCGTCATCGGCAGACAAGGGCTTAAAGTCGGTCGCCCTGGGATCTTTCTCCGGGTCGGCGGTCGTAAAGGGGATGATGACGGCAGGGTACTACCATGTCAGTGATATATATAGTGGATTACAGTGATCATAAGAACTTACATCCATAGCATTCCATGCGACGGTGTAGTGATCAAAGGCCCACTCGCTGGGCTTGACGGCCGTGTGCGGCCCAGCAGGACAGAGGACCAGATCGATGCCCGCCTGTTGCCAGCGATCGAGCATCTCCTTCTGAAAGGCGCCCTTCTTCGCGCCGAGCTCCCACATCTGCTCGGGCGTCTTGGCCGGACGCCCCCAGAATCCAATACTCTGCACCGACGGTACCACAGGCTCGCCCGCCGCCTCGAGCTCGCGCTTCGGGTACGACAGCCCGTCGATCGTGAACAGCTCGGCCGTCACAGCCCGGATCTCCGCATAATCGACCGGCACAAAGTCCTTGACCTCGTACCCCGCCGCGGCCAGCTTCTCCGCCGCTTCGCGGATAGCACGCAGCACGGGCGGGTGCGGCGTCAGCCCGCTCGAGTATACCACCCCGATCACGGGCTTCTTGTCTGCCGGCCGGGTGATGCCCTGTTCGAAGATGCGCGGGATCACGGCCGGGTCGCCCTTCCACGGCTGCAGGGAGCGCACCGTCCGGCTCAGCAGCGTCAGGTCTCGCGCAGAGCGTGCCATCGGGCCCGCCACGGCTGGCACGCCCGTGTTCATCCCCTTCCAGTTGGATGCTGCGAAGCCCTGCATGGGTAGGATGCCGTTGGTCGGTTTATATCCGTAGATGCCGTTGCACGCGGCGGGGACTCTATTCAATTAGCATGGATCCCTGCATGTACGGAAATAGCTTCCAAATGTACGCATGCTGCGATGTACCTGATTGACCCCCCCACATCCGTACCGATCCCCAGAGCACTACCCCCGATGGCAACGGCAGATCCCTCGCCACCACTGCTCCCTCCACAGGTCAGATGTGAGACCACGGGGTTGCGCGTACGGCCAAAGACGTTGTTGTCGGCCTCGGCAACCAGCATTGTCTGTGGCGTGTTCGTTTTCGCGATCACCACCGCGCCCGCTGCCCGCACCAGCTCGATCAGGTAGCTGTCGTACGTCGAGGGGTCGAAGGTACGTGTGATGTACCCGTCGCTAGCATCGTATCCTTTGACATGGAAGCATTCCTAGTTCTTAGTATAGAGACGAGTATGGCGAGGACTAGATCGATACCTTGAAAGTCATCGGCACGCCGTGAAGAGCGCCCACCGTCTTCCCCGTCGTCTTGTAGATCTCATCCAGCTTCTTGGCCTCCTCGATCGCATCACGGAACATAATCTCCGTCAGACAGTTGGCCAGCTGCTGCGCGACAGCAGCGCGCTTGCAGTAGGCCGTGACCGTCTCGACGGCCGAGTAGACGCCCGCGGCGACCTGCTCGGCCAGCGCGGTGGCATCCAGCACGGTGATGGCCAGCTCCTGCTCGGACAGGATGCCCGACTCAGCGACCAGCGGGCGCAGATCGATCGTGTCGGCGTGTTTGGCCAGGAAGTCGGGCGTCAACCGCCACTCGACGGGGATACGCTCGAGCTGCTCGGCCTTTTTGGCGAGGTGGATTTCAGTCCAGGGGCGAGTCATCTTGTTCCTTTGATTCTTTTGAGAAATAGAAAGAAAAGAAAAGGTTGTTTATTGTCTGTAGCCTTCATCCTTCTCTGCTCCTATATACTCCGTCAGTCAATCGAGATAGCATAAAGATAAGATAGCGATGAGGGGCAACTGGCATTCATTCACTATCGATTCTGCAGGTTCCATTTCCCCCCACAGAGATCGGAAAGAAGCCGACCTGGAAGACGAATGAATGCGATGGTGATTGTGTCGAGTCATCATTAATAGACGATAGTATTTCTCCTGCTCCTCCCTATCTTCGCTATCATCAGGACTCGCATATTACCAAGAGTTGAGACTTACCATACCCATCCTCCTTTTTCATTTCTGTCCTCTTTCATTTATTCCCTTTCTTCCTCTCTTCCTCTCTTCCTCTCTTCCTCTCTTCCTCTCTTCTTTTTACTATGCAACCAGCCACTCTGCGCAGACACACCCAGCGCGGCACGTACGAGGTCGCCGCGCTGGCCGGGGTCTTCCGCGAATGTTTCCTCGCGCACGTCTCGTACGTGGACGACGGGCTGCCGCAGTGTCTGCCTATGATTGCGCTGTTCGAGGAGCTGCCGGACGGCGAAGCAGCGGTTTACCTGCACGGCCATCCGACGTCGCGTCTGATAGAGCTTGTCCGACACAGTGTAGCAGAGGGAGACGAGAAGGAACCGCGCCAGCCGGTGCGGGTCTGTATCGCAGCCACGAAGGGTATGTTTTTGAAATGATATCTTCATTTCTATTCCTTCTCTGATTTTTTTTTTAACTGTTTAGTCGACGGATTGGTCGCCTCGTCCGCTCCAAACGGCCACACATTCAACTACCGCTCCGCCGTGGTGCACGGCTCTTGCTCGCTCGTGACGGACCGCGAGCAGAAACGCGAGATCATGCGGAATGTCACGAACCATATCATCGCCGGGAGATGGGAGCAGGTCAACCCCGTCGCGTCGTTGCAGGTGTCGCTGGTGACCGTCGTGCGGGTAAGCGTGGAACGGGGTTCGTTGAAGACTCGCCGCGGCGTGCCAGGGATCCAGCCGCGGAATGTCGAGAAAGACGGGCCCGATCGTGAAGAACCGGCCTGGACGGGCGTGATTCCCTTGTATGAGCGGTTGGAAGCCCCCGTTGCGAGTGGCTTGACGGACAACGCGGTCGTCCCGGGCGAGATGCTGCGCTTCATCGACGAGAGGAACGAGCGGCAGAGGGGGTATGCACTTGAGGCGGCGAAACAATAGTAGCTTCAATGAATTATGAGAAAGTCGATGCAGAGGAGAGTAGAAAAAGAAGAGTAGAGTAGAGAAAAGTAGAGAGAGTAGAGAGGAGAGGGAAGAGCAAACACTGACAACTCTCACTGACTTGATATTAATTGATAGAATTCTATCTTTCTTTACTTTAGAAACAACCATTCAGTATATAAAATAATACTAGTCTTTAGCTGTCATTGTCTAGATGCATATAAACTATTGTTCCTATGATTACCAGAAAGTAAACCTCAATAATATTCAGAAGGCGAATACTGATACACTGAATAAACAGCAATGGTTACTCAGGTAATATAGAGATATGTAGGCGAGTTTGTAGACAGATAAGTAGAATCAGTCATGTAAAGGAAACTTGTCCCGCAGCCAGCCTCCATACCGGTAGAAGAGGATCGGCACAGGTAGGAAGGCGACGGTGACAAAAGCCAGGACACTGTTCCCCCATCCCAGACCGAAACGGTCGTACAACGGGTCCGCCGCCAGGGCCAGGAAGGAGCCTGCCGGGTTGCGCACCAGCGTGGTGGCCGCCAGCGCCGACGCGGCAGCCTGCGGGCCAAACATGTCCATCATGTACAGCTGGGCGGAGGAGGTGATGACCATGGTGCCCAGGCCAATAAAGGCAGTGCCGATGATGGGGACGATCCACTGCGTCGCGGCATGGGCCGACCAGCCGTACCAGAAGATGCCGAGCGGCACGCAGGGACCGATGTAGATCATCAGCAGGAGTCGACGCTCCGGCCCACCGTTCGGGCGCAGCATCCTGTCGCTCAGGACGGCACTCAGCGCCAGGCCAACGGTACAGCCTATCCCGATCCCCAGATAAGCCAACCCTGACACGCCGACGCTCCAGCCATACATATCCTCGAACACGGACGGGAACGTCGCGAAGAGGAGATAGGTCATACCGAAGACGATCGCCATGTACAGCCCGAGAGGTAGGACGATGGGCGAGCAGACCAGAATCCGCAGCGGCCGGGTCAACGCCCTGGTCATCAGCTGCCGTGCCGGGATCTGCCTCGCACGCGCGGGGCGCAGATTCTGATTCCCTGTTTCCTTGCGCAGACGGGCGACTTTCTTGGCTAGAGCTATGTTATTGTTGGTCTCACGCATGGTGACCATCACAACTGCAGTAACGACGCAAGCCTATATGTTGTTAGAGGGGTCAAGCAAAGCTAGAGTGGTAGACGGAAGAGGGGTACCAAAATGAGGACCAAGTAGAAAGTCCACCGCCAACCCAACGACTGTGTCACGAAGCCACCGATGATAGGACCAATAACCGGTCCCAGCAACGGACCAGCAGAAAAAAGGGCAGTTGCGGCACCACGCTCCTCCTTTGGCAGCAGGTCGGCGATGGTACCGCCGCCGCAGGTCATGAAGGAGGCTGAGCAGGCGCCGCAGAGGAAGCGGAAGGCCAGGAACATGGCGACATTGGTGCTGCGGGCGCATCCGATGGTGAAGCCGATATACAGGATACTGGTGGCCCAGTAGATGGGCACACGCCCAGTCACCTCGGACAGCGGAGCAAACACCAACGGCCCCGTCGAGGTGCCCAGAGAAGGGATTGTCACCGTCAGGGTCTCGACTATGGTGTTTGTCACGCCAAAATCAGCGGCCAGAGTAGACGCACCGGGGGCAAACATGGTCGTGGCGATGTTCCTGCATTTGAGAACCAGCGTTTAGCACTACTTTCTGGTCTTCCTTTTGGATTATCAGTCCACGTACGTGTAGAGCACCGAAAGACTGATCAACGAGATGTTGAGCATCTTGCGTGACTTGGGCCAGCTCCGCGGGTTCTCTGGGTCGTCAGGACCGTCCCAGTCGACAACATTCGGGTCAGCAGCAGGAGGTTGTTTCTCGACGTCGGTTCCCTTCTCGATCGAGTCTTTCCTCGAGGTCTCACTAGAGCCTTCATCCATTGGTGAGCTGCGTCTGCCCTCTTCGACTCTCGCCTCGCTCTCGGACAATTCTACTGCCATCTGATGTCTCGTTTGCAAGTGGCTGTCTGGTAACAACTAGGTGGTATCTCAGAGGGTAATGGTGAAAAGAATGGTTTGAAAATCCTGGCGAAGGAATGGAACCCTCGTCTGATGTTTCGAGGGCGGCCATCGTCTCATATAAGGAGACGTTGAACGGAGAAAGAAGAGGAAGAGGAAGAAGAGGAAGAAGAAAAGAGAAGGAGGTAAACAGTTGCTCCGCCGCTGTGCCTGAGGCATCCCATGCTGCCATCTCGACAATAAAAGGATCAAACCACAAACCCAGTAATATTGAGTTGTAATAAGCTATAGATTAGTCCTGCTATTCTTTCTGTACTTTATAATAAAGCTAGACAGTGTCAATTAAAGATGAAAGCTGTCATAATACAACCCCTGGCCTATACTCCGAGAATCCGTACTAATCATCGACCTCTCAGTGAGTGTCATCTAATCACAGGCTAGCAGAGAAGCCTAAGCAATAGAAGAGGCAGGAATTCATTACTATCAAGAGTAAAGCAGCCCTTATTGAAAGAACTGGTACCTTAGGTAGGTAGTAACTACCAGTAACTACCAGGCACTAGGGATTGCTCTGTCTGCCCAAGGCATCAAGTTCCCTGATTCGGCTAGTTCAATATCACGGTCATCTGACTGTTGCTCCGTTCCTCCGTCGATCCCTCCGTATTCCTCCGTTCCTCCGTTCTTCCTCCATTCGGTGAAGGAGATGAGATGAGACGACTTCATTCCAGCTCATCTCTTTCTAATAATCACATTCCCGTGCTCCAGTCACGAAACGAGGCCATGGATCAAGCCACAGTCTTTACGGCTGATCCCCACACAGCAGAACCGCCTCATGCCCGGGACCGCCGGCGTGAGAAACCGCAGCTTTCGTGTACTTTTTGCAGACGCCGCAAGTAAATGGCCAGCTATCTGTGATGAGGACGTCGTGGCTGACAACCCTTCATCTGCCAGGGTACGTTGCGACCGTCAGTTTCCGTGCAAGACATGCGTCAACAAGGGACTCGCGGCCTCCTGTACCTACACACCCGTTCCCCAGCGAAAGGGCACAGCCAGTGTCGGCGAGCGGATTCAGCAGCTCGAGGCGTTGGTGCGCTCCCTGCTTCAACAGCAGCAGCAGCAAACACCTGCCGTCTCGGCTGGCGGATCAGTCACTCACTCGCCGACGTATCCTGGGGAGTCGCCGCAGAGCGTCTCCACAGACGTGGGCGAGATCGCCCCCGTGGCCTCGACTGACGAAGATGTCGGACAGATAACGAGACCATTACGACCGCATACCCCTTGGCTGGCTCAGGGTAAGGATCGTAGCTCCTCCCCTGCGCCATCGGAGCGTGGGAGCATGCGCCTAGACTCGCACGGCGCCAAGTACGTCGGTAGCGCACACTGGGCAGCAGTCCTGGACAGCATCTCGGAGCTCAAGGACCACTACGAGAAGGAAGAAGAAGCCAGGACACAGGCCAAAACACAGGCCACGGGTGACTTAGTGCCTTGTCATTCTAGTCCGGGTCCTCGGCTGCTGTACGAACCGGTGCAGGCAACCAAAGCCGAGATCTTGGCTTCAGTCCCTGCCCGACCTGTGGTGAACCGGATCGTCGCAGCATATTTCAATACGCAGGGCTTAGCGCCAGGTAACTGATCTCATTCAAGGGAATAGATGAGATGACTCGCTGAGTATTATCGGACAGCTTTTCTCCACAGTGGCCAATTTCTCCAAGAGGTATGGTGATTCTCCCCTACAAACCCACCCTCTCACCGACACTTCTTCTTCAACATCAGTATGAGAAATTCTGGAAGGACCCAACGGCCACGTCCTTGGCCTGGGTCGGCCTGTTGTTCAGCATCATGTGTCTCGCCACGCAGGTGCAGCTGTTGAGCCACGAGCGAGCCGACGCGGACCTTCCGGCGCGCTTCCAGGTGTTTCGCGAGCGAATGGTGCAATGTCTGGTGCTGAGCCAGTTCACACGAGGCGGGCCGTACGTGCTGGAGACGATGATCAATCACTGTGCCAGCGAGGTGCTTCTGTGCAAGGACGCAGACATCGGGCTATGGCTGCTGAGCGGGATGGTTGTGCAGCTGGCCTTGAGCCAGGGCTACCATCGCGACCCGCGGTACTTCTCGCACATCTCCCCCTTTACCGGGGAGATGCGGCGGCGAGTGTGGGCGGCGATCGTGCAGCTAGACCTCCGGTTGGCGAGCCAGATGGGCTTACCGCGCGTACTCAAATCGCAAGAGTACGACACGGCCGACCCACGCAACCTACTAGACGCCGACCTAGACGAGTCGATCGAGGAGCTGCCCCCCTCCCGGCCCGAGAGCGAGGTGACGCCCGTGCTGTACGGCCTAGCCAAGAGCCGGATCGACCGGATCAGCGCGCTGATCAGCGATCTCCTCGCCGACACCCGCGAGCACCTCTACGCGGAGATCATGGAGCTAGACACGAAGCTCCGCGAGGCCGAGAGCGGACTACCCCCGATCTTCCGCTGGCAGCCCCTCGGCCAGTCGTTCATGGTGCCGCCGCAGATTGTCCTCCATCGCGTGTGGCTCCAGCTGGCCATCCAGCGGCTCCTGATCTGCCTGCACCGGAAGTACCTGGCGCCGTCGTATGGGCAGGACCGCTACGCGTACTCGCGCAACACCTGCGTGCAGGCCGCCATCAAGATGCTCGAGTTCCAGCAGCTGGTCAACGAAGAGACGCAGCCAGAGGGCCATCTGCACCCCGTGCGCTGGGTGCTGTCCTCGCTCCTCCAGTCCAACTTCCTACTGGGCATGAGCGTGCTCTGCTACTACCTCCAACGGGCCAAGAGCATGCCTCCCGAAGATGCATCGTCGCTGGACCGACAACACACGGGCGCCCAGATCTACGGCCTGCTACGATCCACGTACCCCATGTGGCTTCGCTCAAGCACCGTCTCCCACGATGCCCGGAAGGCAGTCGAGCATCTGAGTCTCCTGTTGGGGCTCCGGGATCTTGATGCGCAGGAAAGCGATCCTTCTTCTCTCCTTCCTCCTCCTCC